ATTATTTAAACTTTTAGTCTAAAAACTTACTTTCGTTATTAATTTCAAATAGTGTTATTAATCAGTTGCCTGTTAAGCTGTCAATTTTTTGTTTTACATCAGAAAGTTATACTTTTTAATTTTCCATATAGAGGTAAAGGTTTAATTATAAACTAAGCCGTTAAAGAAAATATTTATTCATTTCAAGAATGTGCAACAGAGTTTAAAATAAAGATAGAATAATAAATACAAAGCGTAAAGGTTTTCTGTGTAACTGAAAGGAATAAAAGAATTTTAATTACTGGTATTCCATTAAAAAATATATTTCATAAATAATGTATGTGTATATTGCTACTATTATTATTTAGCTACAATTTCTTGAATCCCATACAACCGTCTCAAAATATTTTTTATTGGAACTCCAGAAATGTTTTTTTTTTGTTAAATGTGAAATAATAGAAGGGATTGAAGACTAGAAGAAAGAGTGAATAAAAAATAAGTCCTATTTTACATAATAATAAGATTCAAGACTTACATTTTGAAAAAAGTTTTTGTGAGATAAAAATATTTAACCCGTGATAAGTTTTTATCAGAAGAAAACTGGTCATAAAAAAATACTTTTGACATTAATAAATAATGGTTTATTAGGTTTTTAGTTCGTTTTACTTCCATAACCGTTTAGCATAGGCGTGTTAATTTCTTGAAGTTTTTTCCTGATTTCTTCTCCTAACTTTGCTCTTGGTATTTCAACTTCATTTCTTGAAACTACATCACGAAGCTTAACCACCCCTTTTTGTAGTTCTGACTCACCTATAATTACTGCTAAAGGAATTTGGTACTCTTCACAGTGTTGCAGCTGAGCTAATAGTTTTGGATTCTTTTTATATGATTGTTCCGCCTACAAAAATGATTCCCATTAGTAAAATTGTATTGTATAATATTTAGAAAGTATCTTACTTTCACTCCTTTGTTCCAAAGTTCAGTGCACAATTTCATCCTTTCTTCTAAAAGATTTTTTTGAGCAGATGCTACAAAAACTTCGACATTCGTAGTTCTAACTTTCATTTTCGACGCTGCAGCTTTGGCTTCTATTACTGCAAATATTCTTTCAACACCAATAGACACACCTACACAAGGTACCTGTTTATTTTTAGGGTCGAACATGCCCACCAGATTGTCATATCGACCACCACCCGCTACCGAACCAACACTCCCTTCTGACGTTGAATCTGTTAGAAATATTAAAAGAATAATAAACAATTAAATTATTCTCTCAATATCAGATAGGAAATTAACCTTGTAGGACTGCTTCATAAATTATTCCTGTATAGTAATCAAGTCCTCTTGCAAGACTTAAGTCGAAAAGAACTTTGTCGCTAACACCAAATAAATTACAATAGTGCAACATTAGTTTCATTGCCTCTAATCCTGCAACTGCAGATTTGCTCTTTGTAAGATTAGAATCTGCTAATAATTCTCCGATAAGTTTCTCACGACCATTTAGTTGAACATATTTTCCAATTTTATCAGCTACTTCCGGCGAAAGTCCTTTTTCGTTTATCATTTCTTTTCGAACTTCTTCCCACGGTGACTAAGAAATTTAAATATTGTATTTGACGATTACTTTGATACAATAAAAAAAAAGGATATACCTTACCTTATCCAACTTATCTACTGCTGAACATATTGCACGGAAACATTCTGTAGGAACCCCACAAGCTTCAAACATACCGTCCAATAGTTGCCTGTGGTTTAATTTAATAGTAAAGTTACCAATGTGTAAACTGTCTAGTATTTCATATACTACTCGAACACACTCAGCATCTGGTATCATTGGATCATAAACTCCAGCAATATCAAAATCCTACATCCATAGAAAAATTACAATGTTTAGTAAGAATAAAAATAAATTCCTGTAATAAAACTTACACACTGATAAAACTCTCTGTACCTGCCCCTAGTGATTGAGGGATTATCCCTACGATAAACTTTAGCAATGTGGTAACGCTTAATATTGGAAATTTTGTTCATAGCTAAGTAGCGAGCAAAAGGTACTGTTAGGTCATATCTGAGTGAAAGAATTTCACCCCCCTGGTCTTTTAGATCATAGATGAGTTTTGAATCTTCTCCATATTTACCAGTAAGGACATCCTTAAAGTTTAATAACACAATGACTGTATTTAAAAAGAAATAAAGAAGCAAGTTGATATTACTTTCAATTCAAATATTGGAGTGTCAATGGTTTCAGCACCATGTTTGTCAAATACTGCTATAATTTTCTGAAACACTGATTTTCTAATAGCCATTTGTTCTGGTGTAAAATCTCGTGTGCCTTTTGGTGCTTTAAGAACAAAATTTTTTGTACTTGGAACATCATCTTCTTCAATTGCTTTTAACTGTGCCTTTAATTTTAAAAGTTTTGCCACTTCTTTATTACTACCTTGTCATGGTTGTTAATAATTTCTGCAAAGATAAGTGTTTAATGCTATTAAATATGGAAATATAGATTATTGGGAAAAATAATTTTAACTGTTGCAAACACTGTTTTCATTCAAGTTCAATTGCATTTGATAATAAATTTTTTATTTGGCAATTAATAAGAATATTTTTTATTCAGCAATTAGGAATAAAAAGCAATTAACTTTAATTTCTTCGTAATGAATTAAATCAAAATGATGAAAATAACCAACTGAGTAAGAAGAAAGTTCAATTTATACAAGAAAATTCAAAAAAGACCCCAAAAACCTTAGATAAGCAGAAAGCACATCAGGACACCAGTATTCAACAGATCTCCTGCAATGACATTTCTGACTCTGAAGATGAAAACCAAATTGAAGATCAGCCTGTCTCTAATACATCAATTGAAAAAGATGAAGATAAGCAATTAGATGAGAAGGAAGTTCAAGCTTCACAAGGAAATTTTAAAAGAACTCCAAAAACCTTTGATAAGGGAGAATTTATTAAATCAAAATTTCTTGTTGAAATGCCTGCTGATTTTTACCAGTTTTGGGAGTATTGTAAGGATTTAAACAATGATGATCCATCTGATGCCCTCAAAGATATGAGTTTAAAATTAGTTGGTCCCTATGATGTTCTAGCTGGAAAGTTTTCTGATATTATAGAACCATCTTCAGAACAGTATTTGTTGCACTGGAGATATTATTATGATATTCCAGAGTTTCAAACAGTAATAAAAGGAGATGACTCCTCAGGTTTTCATATTGGTTACTTTAGGGATACTCCAAATGATAAGCCTGTTTTTATGGCTAAGAATTCTGCTGAAAAGAATGGAGAAATAACTTGTACAGGAGATAACATTTTTGCAGCTGTTTTGTGAGAAAANGCTGCAGCTTTGGCTTCTATTACTGCAAATATTCTTTCAACACCAATAGACACACCTACACAAGGTACCTGTTTATTTTTAGGGTCGAACATGCCCACCAGATTGTCATATCGACCACCACCCGCTACCGAACCAACACTCCCTTCTGACGTTGAATCTGTTAGAAATATTAAAAGAATAATAAACAATTAAATTATTCTCTCAATATCAGATAGGAAATTAACCTTGTAGGACTGCTTCATAAATTATTCCTGTATAGTAATCAAGTCCTCTTGCAAGACTTAAGTCGAAAAGAACTTTGTCGCTAACACCAAATAAATTACAATAGTGCAACATTAGTTTCATTGCCTCTAATCCTGCAACTGCAGATTTGCTCTTTGTAAGATTAGAATCTGCTAATAATTCTCCGATAAGTTTCTCACGACCATTTAGTTGAACATATTTTCCAATTTTATCAGCTACTTCCGGCGAAAGTCCTTTTTCGTTTATCATTTCTTTTCGAACTTCTTCCCACGGTGACTAAGAAATTTAAATATTGTATTTGACGATTACTTTGATACAATAAAAAAAAAGGATATACCTTACCTTATCCAACTTATCTACTGCTGAACATATTGCACGGAAACATTCTGTAGGAACCCCACAAGCTTCAAACATACCGTCCAATAGTTGCCTGTGGTTTAATTTAATAGTAAAGTTACCAATGTGTAAACTGTCTAGTATTTCATATACTACTCGAACACACTCAGCATCTGGTATCATTGGATCATAAACTCCAGCAATATCAAAATCCTACATCCATAGAAAAATTACAATGTTTAGTAAGAATAAAAATAAATTCCTGTAATAAAACTTACACACTGATAAAACTCTCTGTACCTGCCCCTAGTGATTGAGGGATTATCCCTACGATAAACTTTAGCAATGTGGTAACGCTTAATATTGGAAATTTTGTTCATAGCTAAGTAGCGAGCAAAAGGTACTGTTAGGTCATATCTGAGTGAAAGAATTTCACCCCCCTGGTCTTTTAGATCATAGATGAGTTTTGAATCTTCTCCATATTTACCAGTAAGGACATCCTTAAAGTTTAATAACACAATGACTGTATTTAAAAAGAAATAAAGAAGCAAGTTGATATTACTTTCAATTCAAATATTGGAGTGTCAATGGTTTCAGCACCATGTTTGTCAAATACTGCTATAATTTTCTGAAACACTGATTTTCTAATAGCCATTTGTTCTGGTGTAAAATCTCGTGTGCCTTTTGGTGCTTTAAGAACAAAATTTTTTGTACTTGGAACATCATCTTCTTCAATTGCTTTTAACTGTGCCTTTAATTTTAAAAGTTTTGCCACTTCTTGGTCAATCTGAAGAGGAAAAAAGGATAAATTGCACTTTAAAGTAAACAGTCATGCATAAGTATGCTAATTTTTATCATTTGTATTTTTATTTGGATATTTGGCAGGACTATTGCATTAAAATTTATTAACATATAAAGAATTTTATACAGTAGTTTTTAAGAAAGTATACTTTACAAATATATGAGTTGTTCACTGACCTGTAGTTTATTATAATAAAAGGAAGTAGCACTAATACACCTCCTTGCCTTATAAAACCTTACAGGTCGTGAACACCATGTAATGAACTGTGGCAGTAGAATTGTCATCCTTGTTTTTTTTGCTTCAACACTTTAACAAAACATAAATTGAGTAAAATTGAATTACCTGATTATCCAAAACAAATTTCTGAAAATTCCTTTTGGAACCTTCAGTGGATGACTTAAATAACTTGCATTCTGATTCAGAAAAACTTTGTATATGTTTAAACCATCGATTTAGATGTACATACTGATTAATTTCTTTGTTTACTATTAAACTAAAAATTTCTTGATCCAGTTTACTTGGGGTAAAAGAAGAAATGTAGCTACGTGATGAGAGATAATTGTTTAAATCAGACAAAAACCTTTCATTTACGTTATAGTTCAAGGAGATTCCATTCAAACCCTAAAGATATATTATAGACAAACTATTACATAAAGCAAAAAGTATTTTACTATGTTCTTATTATTTAAACTTTTAGTCTAAAAACTTACTTTCGTTATTAATTTCAAATAGTGTTATTAATCAGTTGCCTGTTAAGCTGTCAATTTTTTGTTTTACATCAGAAAGTTATACTTTTTAATTTTCCATATAGAGGTAAAGGTTTAATTATAAACTAAGCCGTTAAAGAAAATATTTATTCATTTCAAGAATGTGCAACAGAGTTTAAAATAAAGATAGAATAATAAATACAAAGCGTAAAGGTTTTCTGTGTAACTGAAAGGAATAAAAGAATTTTAATTACTGGTATTCCATTAAAAAATATATTTCATAAATNCGTGATGAGAGATAATTGTTTAAATCAGACAAAAACCTTTCATTTACGTTATAGTTCAAGGAGATTCCATTCAAACCCTAAAGATATATTATAGACAAACTATTACATAAAGCAAAAAGTATTTTACTATGTACCTAATTATAGTGCAATTAGAAAGTGATTGTCTTTCACAATATTCTCATTGCCAAATTCTTTGTCTATTATAAATTTTAAGCAAAAGTAAAAATCAACAAATTTTAAAAAGCCCTATATAGATAAACTCTAAAAAAATGATGCAATAATCTTTTGTAAATAGGATATACTCACTTTATCTTTTATTTCTTTTTCTGCCTTTAATTTTCGAACTAAATCTGCCTGTTCTTTCACCAAATTCTGTATCTGCTCTTTACTTTGCATATTCACTTTCCAGATGATTCTCTTATTTATTTTAATTAGGATTATTTTAAACCAAAACAACCACGCACAAAATCACCGCTACTATTCCACGTGCAAATAGGTAAGGCTAATAAATAATTTATGAGTATTTAATGACAACTGCTGTCTATGTTACGTCATGAAAATTGTGAGGTATTTTTGGAACCTTCCGCGCTATCTATAATTACAGAGATGGAACTAATAAACTTTTTGAAACTACCGCGTTAGTGCGCCATTACTGTGAAGAAAAAATTACTAATGCCGATATGATGGCGTTATTTCCTTTTCCATCCGCAATTTCTAGAAATAATTCGGCTCTCGTTAATTTTCGTATTGTAGCGTCGCATTATCTTGTTAGACTTATATTAACTATGATTATATAAATGAGTATCGTTATTTTAATTACAATCTCATCTCAATATAAGTTCGGGTAAACTATCGCGATTGTGTAAAAGTTTTCCGAAGTATTTTCTTGTTTGACTGATTAATAAGTGTAAGTTTAGTTACCATTTAAAGAGATCGTAGGACATGGATACATGGTCAGCATGCAAGAATAAGGTTGGTATAGAATATATCTAGGTAAACAAGTTTTGAAATTTAAACTAAAAATATGCCGCTAAAATAGGTACTCAGAGTTTGCGTCGTAAGCCGCAAAAAGTTTATATTGAGCTGAATTTTGTATTAGAGGTACCTAATGTTTTAGAAAATTGTTAAGATAATAAAAAATAACAGTTAAGTATATAGTAGGCTTATAGAGAATAAAAAGTTTTAATTTTTTTATTATATCAGGAAATTTATTTCGCATAACGGCGGTTATTAGTTGTTGCACGGACAGAAAAAAAAATGAAAATCAACAGATTGAGTTTATTATCAATAAATTAAATGTACAATATTCATCTTTGGCAGGAAAACATGAATTGCGCACCGTATTATATATTTTTGCGTTGAGCGTACTCTATTTCGATCATTAAATTTCCCAACGTAATAAGTCCTAGAGAGAAACAAATAATTCCGCCTACGGAAAAAATTTCATGTAGCACACCATTTTTAGCCCATGTTGTGTATTTGCTTTTTATTTTATGGTAGAATTTTCTGACTGTGTAGACAACCTTGTCTCTGCAAAGAAATAAAATAAAATTTGCATAATAATTATGCACTCTCATTGCGAAAAGAATTAATTACTTTTTTGTGAAGTTGGATATGTCTATGTCTTCAAATTCTTCACTACTGTCTGCGTTTTTTGTTTCTTCTAAATCTTCATCTTCCGACTCATTTTCGGACATGCTTTTATCTTCTTGCGAATTGGCCCGACTTGCTGCTTCTATGCCTTCTTTTATTTTAGACAGATCAACTCCTAATCTGAAAATAGGAAGTGATTTCGGTGATTGAAGATTTGTAAAGAATTGACGCAATCATTCATAGCTACTTTTTTCCTTAATTCAAGCAAATTAATACGTAAATAAACTTACTCTAAACGGCTTAGTCTTGATGACCTTGCCAAAGTAGTTAATCTGCTACTTAAATCTGATGTTCTACGGGTAAATTTAGCTCCTTTTCCCACTGCTAAATTGCCCTCAAAAGGTTGAGTAATTGTGGCGATACTCGCTCTTCTTCGAGTAGCAACATTTTTGTTACCATTTGATGTTTGGGTAGGTGAAACTCGTGTTTTGTTCACAATCATCGAATCAGTTGAGTTGGTGTGTTGCAGCACTCTCCTGAATCACATCATCTTTCATTAAGTTATTGAATTTGTACGAATGAAAAGAAGTAATAATAAGTATTGGTAGATATTGAAATGGGTTTTCTTTATGAAATGAATATTGTGGTGACTTTGAGTTAGTACTCAGAATTACCTATGACAATTTCCATTTAGCTTACTTCGTGTACTGGAGTTGTTTTCGAGCTGAATCTCTTTGTTGTTTTAATGCAGTTACGTAATTGATCATTAGGTGGGCAGCTTGAGCAAGACGATGTTCATGTTGGACAGCACCAAATCTTTCAGCTGCGATTGTAGCATGGGAAGATGCTTTTACCACTATGTCGGTTTGTGCTAAAAGATTTGTTAATAATTCTGCTCTTTCTGCGTCCACGCATAGCGGCTGAATCTTGTGCACCTAAAATTAAATTATCATCCTTGAATTCTGTTTTTCTGAATCGTCTACTCAATGTCAATTTGTTGACCACATTGGTCTAAACTTAGATATGCGCTCTTAAAAATATTTGACGCTTATACCTTTTCAATAAGTTTGTCAATTTCATTGGCGAAGTTTATTTCCGTTTGATCTCGAAACCTTTGTTGTCGTTCCCATCTATCAGTTATAGTTGTTGCGTCTATAGAGAAAGCTAAAGCTAAAGCGATGAATCTTTCCTCCATCTCTTGCTCGCTTAATCTGATCCTATAAGGTATGAACAATTTTAGAAAATACTACAAATGGCGCAGTAAACGCCATCTGTAGCACTATGCTACATTTTAGGATTACGTATGCATCGTGCTACAGATGGCGTTTACTGCGCCATTTGTGGTATTTTCTAAAACGCGCTGTTGAGGCAGCAGGTAAAAGTTGGTCTATGTTCTGTCGGAGCTGTTTGCGACACGCTGATGAGATCCAAAAAGATCGAAATCGCGATCCGAGTCTGGCAGTTTCGCCAGAATACAGACCACTTCGAGTTATTTTATGAACAATTTATTCATATGCAGAAATATCTGAACATATAACTTTATGTAGTTGTACGATTACTTAGATTGGTGGTTTTCTGAACCATAAAAAAATGTTCCCTTTATATATTCAAATCAACATCATCAAATTATTTCCTAGAGCCGTAACAAAATTAGCTCGTTCTATGGTAAAAGGTGCCGAATTAGGTAGGTCTTTTTGTGACTTTATTTGAAAATTAAATAAAGTACCACATTCATTTCCTTTAATTGAGTTTACAATTAGTGGTACTGAAATGAAAAATTAGCAACTTAATTTACGTTTACAGTTAATCGTTATGAAATTGTTTCATTTATTTGCTTGTGTAATTACCTATTGCTGACTTGTTGACACACATGGACGTAAGAATCATTTATTTGTACATTTATTTTTGAAATTTGTCAGGTATAATATGTGTAAATTGAAAAATTGTTTTGCGTTCTTGGAAATCACATCAGCAGATTGTAACTTTACAACTTGCATTTTTTTTATAAACTCGTAATAAATTACATTAACTCAAAGCAAACTAATAGGGTTCAAAGAATTGCAAGTTTTTTTATCATTAATTTGCTATGGTGAGCACCTATCTCCTGGTATACAGGGTGTCTAAAGAATCAGTGACATACGTAAATATACACAAAGCCGTACGACGATTCACAGTAAATTTAGTGATTTTTCTGTGTTAATTCTGTGTTCTAATTAAAATTTTTATGCTCCATTTCTTATATGAAAATTGGTGGTGGTTCCGAGTGGGGTGTGCTATGTCAGTCTTCGCTTAAAACACAAGGAATGGAGAACTAAAATTTTAATTAGAGCTTTAATTTAGCACTAAAAAAGCACCAAATTCTTCTGTGAATCGTTTCGTGATTTTGTGATGTGAATCTACTAGCAGATTTAGAAATTCCTCGTGGGTCTCTAATCATAATGCTTTCTATAAGATATAAAGACGTCCTATTTAACAATTTAAAAGTATTTCTTTTTTTGATAGGTACAAACCTTACTTCTTTTATACTCTGTCGCCTATTTCTTACGTAATTATCTTCTATTGGATATAATTGTTATTGGTAATCGTACGTGAAATTTATCTGTCTGTCTACAATCCCTTGCGTAAATTTCAGCCAAAGCCAGTAAACACTATTTTATTTAATCGACAACGTTTTAGCAAATCTAATTTTTCGAATTAACATAATTTCGTCGTAAAATTTAATAGTCTCGTCTGTAAACAGTAACTTCTCCTCCATATGGACATGGGACTTTGAAAAAAATAAGGTTTTGACTATGTTTGGGTTGCAGTTTAGAGAACAAATCTCTTTAATGGCCGGCTTACCTTCTCATTTAGCCTTTTACTACACATTTATACTGTAATATACTTCTAGCGTATGCATTTAATTTAATATACTCAAAAACTAATTAGTTATTTGTGGAGTTTTAAACCAAATTATCTGCCAATAAATATTTTAGATTTGCATTTTAATAGCCTTATATTTTATAGTTTGTAGGCACGCGCAAGGTAGAAACAATAAAATAATGTAAAAATTTCGTAACATGATACTGGATGTAAATTTTTATTAAAAGAAATAAATTGTCAAATCAGTTTTGGGGGACTAAAGAAAAATCAAGGAAAAGTGTAATATAATTTTACTTTAAATCAAAGTTATCGGTTTAATTTGGTATAAAATTTACATTTTAACTCTTGAATGAAGTGATATAAGCAGTCTGTTCTGCAGAATCCTTTGCCCAGAGGTCACATTTATTAATTATTTATTAACTATTCCTTTTCATTTTGGCAATAACATGTGTTATAAGCATTTTTGTTAATTTATGTAGTTTTTTTCCAAGGTGGCGGTCAAATAATTACACAACTATATGGTTTTTGTAACGTTTCGGTTTATTCAACCTGTTTGTACACAGATACTAACTTATTTTTAAACATTCTCTCATGTTGAACAACAGAGAATGTGTACAAGCAGTAACACTTCAAAAGTCTTTAAGATGATTGAATAGAGCGAAACGTTACAAAAAAGTTATAATTGTGTAATTATTTGACCACCCTGGAAGAACTACATAATTTGATAGTAACGGTCTAGAATCTAACTTAAATTTTTTTAAATAATGTTTAGGATAAATATCTTGATTCGATTAAAACAACCGAATTTTTGCATATCTGCTTGCTACATTATCGATTTTATATATCACTTAATTAATGTAGCGCACAATTATCCCATTATGTAATGTATCTACATGAATTCAATGGATTATTTATAAGGCTATCTTATCAGTTTTATTACCAGTAATTATTTTATTAGTAGCTAAAATGATTGTTTCAATATGTTTAATGGTTGCTGATTTATTTTCTAATTTTAAGTTTACTCAAATCCATAATGAGATATGATATTATGTTTATTGTTTTAATAGTTCGTACATAAATTAGATAATTAATTTTCCATTTTAATTGTATACTTTGAAAGTATGTCTACGATAAAAATGGTTTGACCGATTTATTTTGAAAAATACGTTTTTAGAGAGCACTTTGTAAAGTTAATATTTCATCAATTTCTTTTGCATATTCAATTTTATTGGAATTCTTACCCTGTATTTTCTCCGGTTAGTCCCAATTTCTGCAAAACTGAATCAGGTAAACTTGGAAAAACCTGAAATTCTCCATCTGTATTATATTCCTTAGCATGACCATCAGATAGTGACCTCAGTTTTCGAGTCAAAGTGTCCTACAAAACAAGCCATTGTTTTCAAATTCGCTAAGAAATGTTAATTATTGATACATTTTCCACTTTATAAGTTGTTATGTTATTATAAAAAAAGTATTGTGTATAAAATATTGTTATGAACGTATACCGCAGGCGGCGATCGATACAGCCGCATTCTTAATAACCCTAGCGAAAGCCGACAAATTATGACATCTGCAACACCTTACCTTATGCAATCATAAACCATACCGGTGTCTTAAAATAAAAACACCAAATTCCCCGTCTGCAAAAATACATTTCTGGCCTGGGTCTATAATAATTATTTAATAAATATTATGGCGTAAGCGGTATGCTTATTTTTGGTAATTTATTGTAAATAGAAATCATCCGCCTTAGATCGTCAGATAAGTCGTTAGATTTGTTTATTTACCAACTTCCCGTAAATATTTGAGTAATATAGGTATATACCAATACCTATTTCATTTTATCTATAACAAAGTTTCCCGAAAACTCGTTGAAATATGTAATACAGAGCGAATTTTCGACCATTGTTTATTTTAATACGTCTTTTAATAGACTGTAAACCTCTCTTTCGTTCTATATAAACAAAACGTTTTCTAAATCGTGTACACTTTTCCTCAATCTAGATCTAATAATAAGATCTTTTGCAATCTAGTAAAGCATTTTATGATCTCTGTCATGTATGTCATGTGGCAGACGCTCATATAATGTCTTTTTAATTGCGATTCTTAAAAATAGTTTGCATTCAGATATCATAAAGATTACTTTTTCAGCTCTTTTATCGTCATTGCTTGTCGCCCAGAGAAGAAAAAGTAAAAAAAAATTATTAATTTAATTTATTAGTAATTTTTGTTTTCGTACGGGTGCAAAATAGTTTTCTAATATTGTATAGGAAGTTGGAATTTAATTAAAACTTTGGTGATGTATAAATTTTTTGGTGTACTTGTGGTACTTTCTTGAGACTTTAAATATAATATTTGCTCATGTGCCTTAATAGGCATTAAATTTTATTACTCTGTTGTAAAAATAGATCTGCAGACTACAGATATCAAATGGATATATAGCTATCCCCATCCCATGATGTAACCGCCACTAATGTCTTGTACGCATTCGATAGGCTAGTTGCTATAAACAAACATTTTTTACTGGGTTTTGTTTATGCTCATTCCAAAACAGAAAAAATCAGAGGAAAACCATGTGTTATCTTTTGTAATGGTTACATTGCCACAAATTATTGTTATCAAATTTCTATCATTATTTTAATAGAAATGCCTGTTCAGTTTACATCATCCCTGAATTTTTTTATATAGGTATCTAATCGGAGTTTTTTTAACCTGAATTATATTTCTTTGTTACATTTCTTATAAAAGTTTGCTGGATAATTATATAGAGCCTATTTTCTGCAATGTATTTCTTCTTGTGCTTTCCGCAGAATTGAGAATTATAAAACCGCAGTGGATTATTATTCATTTGCAATTTGATCGGAGTCTATTAAAAGTTTAACGAGCTGCTTAAGACCAAAAATCATTTAAACAGCGGAAATGCAATAACATTAGAATCACCGTTATGGAATTAATTAGAACACTGTTCTATTAATTTTTAATTATACCAAAATGAACTCAAAAGAAATCGTAAACAGGTACAATAACTTGTTGTATTTTTTAAATATATGGAGCAATTGTTGAACTAATTAACGAATTCTTAATAGAAAATAAGTTTATTTATCGGTTTCACAATTGATGCTAAATTTTAAATAATGTTCCACTCCACTTTTCTTCAAATATTCTGTTAAACTTTATTAAAAACCATATATATAATAAATAATCACTAAATGTTTATTTATTTGTCATCTTTAAAGAGTTGTCGGCGAGAATAAGACACGCACTTCCAGTCTTCCTATCTTCGCCTTTCCGGAAAAGTAGAAAATCCCTTTACGAACAATAATGCAATGTAGATATACTTCTTTACTCCTGTTTTGCTTTATGTCTCTAAGTGACCCATCATGTCTTATAAGTTATCCTGCCATGCTTTTTCTCCTTTTTTTATTGATTTCTATAGCAATCTCTTTCTAATGCCTCCTCATTTCCAACATTTTCAATGCACGGTATTTTCATCATCACATTACAACTCAAACGTTTTCTTACATTTCCTTCACCACCGTGTCTGCCGCTAACGTTTCCAGAACCGCGTTTCAAGCACACTTTTAGTACAATATAAAGATCCTATACAGTAGGTTCACTTCCCAACCACGTCTCTCCTGTCATCGTATAGCCACAGTACAAATACATTTTGTATCTAAACATTTCGGCAAAGCACATAAACTTAATTTATAATGACCTACAAAATTTTAGACAAATCAAAGGAGTGAACCTACTGTATAGAATCTTTATACCGTGCTTTTAGTAATCTCTTTCAAATTTCCAAATTAACCGCATTTGCGAGCACAGAAGTGACTTTTTTGGTTATTAAAGGCGTCTCGATCTGTGCTATCCTCTCCTTAATGTCTCTATTTAATTTTTAAGAAGCTGACCAATAAGTGTTGATGATAGGAATAAAAAAAAATCTCCCAGACAACTTGTTTATTCAATAATGATAACCGAACTTTAATATTATTTTGCTTTTATATAATTATGCAGATAACATTAGATTTATTTCAAAGCATGCATTAAATGAAAACGATTTCGTGAAAACACGGTTTCTTTAAATTAATAATCGTATTCGTATTTTTGACAAAACTGTTACCTATAACCTACGTATTATCATTATCGGTCCTTCACTTGATAACTGTTAAATTACTGATAAGTTTATCTTTTTGAAATTACAGACTGAAACTTTAATGATCTTTTTCAACTGGCTAAACTTTTAGGCGAAATGTAATGCAGTAAACAACTTCATCTGAAACAGCAACCTCAGAGGTTAAAGGCGTTTTAATTGTTAGCACCTACGGTATAAATTAACGGATAGATAGCTTTATTAAAAACATGATGAGTTTTACAAACTAAACATTTTTATTCTTCTCGCTTTTCTGCTATTTTCTCCTCCATAGTATTCCTTCTATTTGACTTTTCCATATTTTCGCACCAGTTCATGTCATTCCACATTTCTTAAAAATGTGTTCCAGTGCCTCTGGTTCCAATTTAGACAACCTGTATATTTTCTTCTGTTCTTCCCAGTACCTTCCGTCGTCCTATTCTCACTTCCTACTTTATATCATGCGGTTAAACTTCGGTTTTTCTCTTTGCTCTTTCATCTCTTAAATAATGCAGTTTTTCCTGCCTTTCTTTTCATATTTTCTTGTATGCCTGGACGAATTCTAACTCATTCTTTCTCTTTTATGCTTATCAATGTCTGTTCTTTCCAGTCAGTTCTATTTTTTTTTTTAATTTCCATCTGTAGTGATTGATTACCCTTCATCTTTTTATTAAATATTTTTTTCCATGTTTTCCTTGTGATTTTCTTTCCTAAGGTCCTGTTTCTTTTTCCAATTCTTTTGATTAATAGTTATGTAAAAAAAAAGCTAATCTATGCACCATAATCGTCAATATTTCCGGTTGAAGATGGACATCATATTATTTTTGCCTTTTCCTAATAAGATTCAACTTCAAGTACAACAGTTAAACAGATTCTTAAAGCAAATAGTGAAGGCAATAGGCAACATACACAAAATTAGTTAGTCATTTTATAGTGCTACATATATATCTAATATTTATTTACTTCTGGAACGGTGTGCTATTGTGTTTCAGTTCCAACACCATTCATAATTACCTGTTCAATCGTCTTTCACGTTAACGTGACATAAAAACCTTCAATCAAGGAAATCCCAGTGTTTTGACTGACAATAAAAGTAATTTAAAAGGCGTGCATTTTAAATGTTTAAGGATAACATGACTGCGTTTGTTTACGCATTGCTGCCCAACAGCCATAAAAGTGATCATGGGAGTTGTTTTTCCCTTATTTGGGCAGCTCAGTCTTGACTAACATGCTCTATACATTCATATGTAACAGGCACAAGAATCGCTATAATAGTGGGTGTCACTGATAACAGTAAATGTGTGTATGTACCTATAGAATATTCTATAGTGTGTGGAAGTCATCGAGGTCAGTGATAACGAACACAAACATGTATATTTTTATTGTAAAATGCTATAATGGACTTGATACTTGCTATATCGTCGGTAGACATTTGGACGGTCCATAATCCGACATATTAAAATCATTTTTACATAAAACAAAAAAAATAAAAACTTTTTTGATTTTATTACTTGGAGGCATTTACCTCTTTATAACTTAACACATTAGTTCGTTATAAATTATGTATGTCTACAACCTTCAGTTGTGTATTGTGTATTTAATTCTATATCAGCAATCTCCATTTTTAAAATATAATAAAATAAAACAGAAATTGAAGTGTTAATTTCATAATTTTGTATAGACGGTTACAATATTTTATTGCATATTACGTATTTAGGAATTGAATCTATGAATCGGAATTTATGATTATCTTAATCTTCCTGTATCTGAGAATATTACCCTCTATACTAATTTGCGAAATTTATACAACCAGTATAAATATCCATATAAATACACTAATTGAATTCATGATACCAATTAAGTGTTTCATCTTCGGTTGACCCCTGAATCCCGAAGTGACTATCATGCGATCAAAGTACATAAATTGCAAAGAAAGACAGTGTTTGAAGCCCTCAAGCGATAATAATATTATTTGTAATGTCTCAAGTGTGAAATAGATTTTCGATGGCTAGTAAGACCGCTTAAAATTTTAATAATAAAGGAAGTAACACATATAAAAATTCTACTCGGTTACATTCTTGAAGCGATAGATGTCGAGAGAATATATAGGAAAATCCTTTAGAATGAAATTGATACTTTACGGTATTATAAAAAATGCGATATAAGTTAGAAATCACGTAAAATGTCAAACGATATTATCCAAGATAGAGTTACATAGGCTTAAAAATAACGAATAATCGAATTTAAACAATGAATTTAAATGAAATTTTATAGTTGCGACCTAAAGAAGTGAAAATTTAAATCGCAAATTATTTATTAATATAGGAACATAACTCGATGAAACATATTTGAAATAGTTGAATAAAAAAATAAATAAATTACTGCGCATATTACCACAAATAGAAAAAATTTTGACAAATTTTTCGAACATATAGATACTCCATTTTTTGACTGTTAATCAATTTTACTTACCCGTCAAATAATATCATCATATAGTAGCTTGCAAGTAGGTATATATAAAACAGTTTCTGAAATTTGACACGCTATTTTTTATATAATAAATAATAACATTATTTGGCTTTACAAAACAATACGGAAAAAATACGATATTTTGTAAACGAATAGATATTTTTAACTTTATATTTACAAATTATTTACTTCAGATTCTACTTAATCAAAATTAGGGGTTCGACCCCTGCAATATTCTTTTCTACTATAGAAACGAATATGACGTACTTTTTTAGAAGATACACAGGGTGATAACATGTACTTGCGCGTTTTATATCTTTTATAACAGGGTGCACTAATGAATTAATTAAAAAATGAACAGCACAGGGCATTAAAGACATGTTTTAATTTTAATATACCTTGTGAAAAGGTATGTGGATCATTGGAAAAGTATTTTGTGGTATCATACCTTATCATTGATCGTCTGAGGAATCGTACCATCCTGAGGGGGTGTTTTGCAATCGTCAATTGGTATTTCGTCACTACTATCCGAATTAGTGCTTGAGGCACTTGAAAGAGAATAAGAATCCCCAGTTTTTTTTAACGTAGTGTTTATTATATCCAAATCTGAGACTTGAGGATTTGTTTGAAGGACAGACCGCTGAGAGGGATTGCAATTCGAAAGTCTTTCGTAATGATTCAGGGTTTCCGCCATCGCACTTGTATTGCTTTGGTCTATTGTTGATAAAATTATAAGACGAGTGAAATTTCAAATCACAGAAACATTTCGCGACTGATACTCCGTCCGCTTACTTTGCTATACGAACACTTATTAGCAAAATGTGGAATTATTTGACAAGTTATGCACTCCCCACTTGTTCCGAGGCTACGAATCGCCAAAGAACATCCAGTTGCTTGCTTAATACATAATATGTACCTATACATATTATTTTCTAATTTTACTTCCCTGAAAAATTTTTACACTTTTTTCGATTTATTACCAATATATATGCTACAAATTTCTAATTGTCTGTTAATTACGTGATCACATTAGTTAGACAGTTAGAAACCAATGTGTAGGTACTATTTATCGAATGATAAAATATAATTAATAGCTAGTTACTAATAATGAATTGATAAGAACTTACCAAAACATCTAATGGTGCTAATGTAGGCTCATCGGTTTCTTCTTCTTCATCTTCTCCTTCTTCAAATATTTCGTTTGTCCATGGACGATTACTTAACTAACAATAATTGAGAAAATAATTACTAGTAATTGGGAATATGTATAAAAAAATAAATGTTTATTAATTTTTTATTAAGGAATTATCCACATACGTATCAACAGAGCCAAATGGTTTTTTTAAAACTGATATTTATTAACCAATTTTAATTGTCAAAATAATTGACTTTTTTACGACAATTTCTTTTAGAGGGGTCTTAAAATTAATCGTTTTTTTTTTTTTAAGTAACCATTATATTATGATCTCAGTTTGTATTCAATTTCTCGATCTCTTTGCCGCTTATGAATGAGTGAACAATTATATTGCGTTCAATTTGAAGCAATAGCTTGCATGAAATTGAAACAATCTGTTCTCTGATGCTTTGAATTAATTTCGCAGAAGTTCGTTGGTATCCGTGCAGAAAGACTAAAATTATCCGGAAATGCATGTTGTGTTTTTATTAACACTTGGCAATAGACCAAAATAATTAGTTTAAAGTATTTCGGGTTCTTTTGGAAAAATAACAAAGTAATTTTCCATGAAATTAAGTTGTTTGACGATTGAGAATCTCAATATCGTTTCCAGATTATTAATACAGTATACTCTTGATGGTGTATATTTTACCCTAGGTCACACCGTATACTGTAAATAAATCATTTACTGGCCTTAAAAATCGGTATTTCGTCTTTTTATTGTTGCGCATTGCTGATAATCCCCTATATATGCATTTAGTAGTTACTTTCCCGGTCCGCTAATCCTTAATCGTTAACTTCTTCAGCAAATTCGTTGCTCTGAACAGTTCGATAATGTTAAGGACTGGTGTTGTTTTGTGCTGGATTTACCGATGTCTTCTACCTCTGTATCTCATCCCTGCATTTTTAACTAAGTATATTTAACATCTTGCTCCATTTCATATTGTCAAAAGCATTTTCTAAATTTACCAACCCTATGTATGCGGTCTTTCTCTTTTGTTACCGTAAAGTTAGTATGACCTCTGGCGTTCCTCCTATCTAGTTATTCTAAACGAAATTGACCATCCCCCTGAACTTCGGGACTTTCCCCGTCTCGTAAAAGCAATTAAGTGGCCTAAACATACGATCTCGTACCTTTTGTTCTACATGTTCTGAGATTTTCTCCTGTTATCCCATCCATACCTGGTGCATTATCATCAAACTCTTCTATTATTATGAGCTAACCTAGCTGTATTGTATGACTAAACTGATTAGAATGACTACCTATGCACGCTGATTGCTAGTTCATATTTTTTTTAAGAATTTTTCATACATCTTTCGTCTAAACTTATTGTTAGAAAACTGGACATTTATTAAGTATTACCTTTATTCTACTTTTGGCTATGAAATACAGCGTTTTTCAAGTCATCATAATTGGAAACCAAGACAAAACATGTTAAATAATTATGCAGATTCCTTTTGCAGTCAACATTATTCATTGTTCAAGTCTTTTATCTTGAAGAAAATGGAACAACAGTTCATGCTGACCTTCAGAATTGGAATAAATACAAAATTAAGTTAGTGTCAATCAGTTGCCGGAAATCTTTTCTTTGGACTTAACACGAAAATCCATTTACATGTTATGTATTTGTTTTGTCATTATTATCGTGGGTATTAAAAAAAAAGATATCAACAAGGAAAGGATAATTTGCAATCGTCGGGAATTCACGTATTGACTAAATAGAATTATTTGAAAGCGGCACATTATTATATAACGTATTAATAAAACAATGGACGTACCTTGAACATGTTATATATATATACGGTTATTATATACTATTAGGTAACCTTGAGATACTAAAACTGCAAAGTTTGTCATTAAAATGTATCCAAAACACTCACGCACTTTTTTATCGCGTTCTTCGTGCCTCCATTTGTTGTATGCGAACGTTCTACTGAGAAATTATTTATGGCGCTTTTGTAAACAAAGCTTGTCTATTTCATTAAAGTCAAATATGAACGACCTTCTGAATGTATTAGAAATCATTAATCGCGGATACCACAATTAACTGTTAACTTAACAGCCTTATTCAAACAAACTTAACGCGAAATCGAACGGAGTTGCAACAGACGGATCGTCAGCTACAGGGTGGATAGTGCCTGATTAAGACAAAAAACATATTTTGATTTTTTTTTCGAAATTCTGTCTCGTTTGTATAGCCCAATATCGGTAAATGTATAAATGGTGGCTCCCATCCCCTTCGGGGGGTGGGATCGAAAGAGGAGGTCTGCCCCACCACTGTACCATAAAAAGTTCGTGGCGGTCCCACCCCCATAAAAACTTATGGGGATTAGATGGGGGTGGGGGTAGGGGGGATCCAAAAAGAGGATAGAGGGGATCGAAAGAGAGTGGTTATCAGAGTAAAACCCCCTAAAAAAATTTGCGGCGGTCTCACCCCCATAAAAGGTTATGGGGTTTGAAAGTTGATTTTCATACACCATAATTCAAATAAAATTTAATAAAAAAAAATATTTTCAAGCGAGTGAAGGTGGGCGATCGAAAGAGGGTGGTCACTTGAACAAAACCCGATAACCTAACCTAACCTAACGTAACCTACCCTGTTGATAAAGATATTTACTTAAATAATATTTTATATAACTTTCTCAATATTTTTATGTATTTTTCATTGGTTTTACCTTTGGATATTGTTTAAGAATGACTGTATAAATATTTACATGCCTAGAAATGTATAAAAATTGGCATATTTATTAACTTTGAACCCCCATAACTTTTTATGGGGGTGAGACCGCCACGAACTTTTTATGGTACAGTGGTGGGGGAGAACTCCTCTTTCGGTCCCCCCCATTTAGATAGTCGATAGTAGAAATTGGTCTGGTACCCACTTTGGATTAGGTAAGTGGCGGATCAGACCCTTTTTTTGGGGAACCGGCCGTTCCAGGATTCTGGAAACCCGGCGTAATTCTACCAGCGAATGAAGAAAAAAACCACAGTAACAATTATCTAATAAGTGTAACAAAAAACCTACTTAATAGAAATTGGTAATTAGGCCGTTTGTTGTATTATTTATTGATTACTATACTAAATTATTTGTTATTTGATTGTAAATCCGTCAACCATTGGTTTAGTGTTTAAACGACTTTTAGAACGGGATTTAATGTGGTTTTCGACGTTAGTGAGAGTGGTATAGTATGATATTTATTTGAAAGTTCGCTGGAACGAAGACATGAACCATTAATCGTAGTGGTTTTACCAAGTACCCGGTTATCCGGTTCGATACGCTCGTCCAGTCTTTTCTATCCTGAGGCAATCTTCGCATTTCCCTTAAAATAGAGTATCCCACATCCTTAACTAACTATTTGTGAACACTAATCTAATCTACGTCTCTTGCTTCTGCTTCTAATATGTCTCTAATTGAAAAAAATTACATCTGTCCATTTTGTTCTTCCTTTAATTTCTAGGTATCTACTAAATATATCTGGGTTGTTCGATTCTTGGTACACTTTCATCATTTAGGTCAGTTATTGATTTACTCTCGATTTATGTATAATTCTTCAACACATATTCAAACAGGATTAGAAATTCAAACAGATTTTTGGTAATATCAAATGTAAAATATTTCAAAGCAGGAGGGCATTAAATAATGCGTGAATTTTAGACCACTGAGCTTATTTTATGGACTGATTGATACAAATTAATTTATGTTTAACGTTTTCAAAATATCAGGTTCAAATTCAATAATTAACAGCAATCTAGTGAATAAAAATTGTTTATAACCGATGCTCTAGGTATACATATTAGTATTTGCAACCTTTTGAACTGTAGAACTACTGTGATAATTTTAAACTAATTTTGTCCATATTGGTTTTGTAAAAAAAACTTCGATAGCCTTAAAAGCTTGAACATTATCCAACCAAAGCACATACATAAAATTGATTCAAGAATTCAGCAGCATTTATTGCTTCAAATGAGTTTAAATATCACAATAGTTTTTAATTATATAATCGTTAACAAAGATATAATTTCTCATTTTATAAAAGTTTACCTTCATAACCCTGGGTAAATCTTACTATTAGTAGCATTTAGTGTTTTTTACTTTAAGTTATTATTAAAATTAGTACTGATACTTAAAATTACATTTTCCAATCCATGTATATTTTAAAAATATTTCAGTTTTGCCTGATTGTGCTCCGCCATCTTATGGCTCATTCTGGAGAAGTTACAAAAGTTTTCTTCTCTGAATAATGTTGAGCATTCAACTACAGCAATCTTCATTGAAACCGTACCAACTTACAAACACTTGTCCTTGTAATGGTAAGAGACCGCTAAAATGTCCCAAACATTAAAGCTTTAAAATGCGCGTCTACTTTCGCCGGACTTTTTTTAAATGAGTTTTGCTTTATGGTTTTTTAATACATCATGTATTGTATAAAAATGTTAATATTAACAATAAAATCAATCAATAAAAGCCGCAACTAGATACATATAATCCTCATATTATTGTCGCATTTTATCTCGACCGTCCTGTTGGTAATTTACCTCAAATTGCCAACTGTACCTAGAATTCTGAATATTTGTCTTCTTTTGCGGAGGAGCCGGTGTGTGTATCGTTAGTGACTTTTTGCACCAAGCAAACTGGATTATAAATTAGAACCACAAGCGTGCTTAGCATTTTAGCGACTTTGACACACTGACATACACTTTGCGTCAATGAATATTTTTACTGCAATTAAATCGGCTTTATTAGCGTCTGGCACAATTGCAACAATTTTCACAATTGTATAATAACGTTCCCTTAAAACAGACCCATAAACAACTAAACATGCAAGGAAAAACATTTATACGATTTTTACTGTGAACTTCGCACCTCCAAGGATAAGAACAAATCTTTCGTTTGTGACGCTACATTTGGTGTCCGGCTCGAAGGACCAACCGTTGATTTTACTATCTAGATATTGCCCCCGTAAATTAAACAGCACCGGCTTGAAGTTATTAATATTAAGGAAATTAAACCGCGGCAACAGCACAAAAAAATTAATAATTCGAAGTGTAGATTTACGAGCGACCGAGTTTATACTCCGTGCTCTGTAAAGTTCGACCCAATTTTTTTTTTAATATGAATATTGTATACTGTTTCTCCATCGGTGTTAAAAATATCTTTAGACTTCTTCAAACCTTTCGACAGTCCCAAACTTTACTGTTAAAACAATTTATACTAGAAGTCCAAGAGTCTACAAGCATCTTCTTCAATGAATACGCACCTTTTTGTAAGTGAAAACGTGCAAAATCTTCGACAAAAACTAAACGTATTGTGTCATTAAATTGAGAAAGGGGCCTGTCGGTGTCCGTAAAAGCAAATATGTTATAAAATACCGTGTTGCCATTCATAAATTATATCTTTTTATCGTAAAACGCGGTCGTTATTACAGGCGCGCACTTTATTCGAGACGAAATTGGTTTTTATTGCGGTGGCTTTGCAACATTACTGTCATCGCCCGTATACTTTTGTTTTTGGCCGGGTGATTAAGCAGCATTTTCCGCCAGAAATGTTGCACGACAATAATTAACTTTTTTATTTCGGCTAAGATTTGCACAACTTATGATAATTGTCTTATACCAAGCCTCCTTCAGCTACAGTTCGTTCATAACATGCTTACAATTAATATAAGTATGTACTATTCCCGTTTCTTTATTGTGGAATATAAAAAATATCTAGTAGTGAAAAATAGGAGTAAAATAATAATTTTACAGCGTAAGCTGTATGGCAACGCGTCGTGATGCTGTTCAAGATTACGATTACTAAATCGAAGGGGTTGACAGCTGTCTTTCTCCCTATTTCCCTCTGTCTCTTCAAGCGCCAGTGGGCAACATCAATTCAATAGCGCACACGCTATCTGACTTCCGCTTATATGCATTTCCGTCACATTCACGAAATTACTCCCAATGTTCCCTAAACGTTCATATCGAACAGTAGGATGTTAAGAATCAAAAATCGGCATAATGTTTGTTACTACTGCTTATCCTAATACGTAGGTAATTATGTAATTAAATTAATTTTACTGCTTTTTATGATCGCAATGACTATTTTTTGATCACTGATTTAGAAAATAAATTGTATCGTAAACAAAAATAAAAAATGAGGAAAAATTTCTTGCTGTTGTTACACCCCCGCCGGGAATCGAACCCGGGCTCTTTGGCGGCGGGGGTGTGTCAACAGCAACAAATTCTTCCTCATTAATTTGAGGAAGTGTGTAGTGGGTAAAAATTGAGAATATTTCATATTAAAAAACTAACTCACTTCGGGAAGATTTCTACATTGTATGTATATTTATATTCAGTATGAGGTTACAGTACTTTGCGCATTTTTCCTTTGGTACCTGTTTGTACGTTACACTGTTTACCATGGTAGATAAAATCTGCATGCCATTTTTAAGAGGTATTTTGTCCATTTTTCCCTTAATACCGATGAATAGAAATGTCGACACAACCGCCATACAGATAATCTAACATTCAAATGATATTTTATTGATTTATCTATCTATTTAATGATTTCACATTCATACATTTCTCTATTCTATTGTTAGCGGAACCACTTTGTGAACGCTCAAGAATCCGCCTATGGAGTAGAATGGTGANGGCTGAAACTATAGCTACAAGCTATCCAAGGATGGTACTATAGAATGTCACCTCAAGGTAGGCCTAGTGGCGTCATCTCTTGGTTAGGCCGGAAACTTATCAATCCACCCTCGTATAAATACGTACGTGGTTATTATTTAATAATATTAACGGTTATGAATATACGATGTAGGTATGATTTAAAGATATTAATACGAAGAAAATTTATTTCGTGAAAGGTTATAGGTTTAATTTTTAATCAGCGTTATCAGTAAATTTCACGCTAAACGGGATTATAAGGCGGTCCGCGAAGAAGATGGTGATCAGCATAATATAATTTTTCTCGCGGAATTTAGGTCGGACTATCCTGGTATCTTTCTTTAATGCAACAATCTTTACAAAATTATAGCCTGTCTGTGGAAGCAATCTTATAGAATAACAGTATTTTAAGGCAGCTTTACCTTTAAAGATAATTAAAATAATTATTTCCTGAGTCTTATTCTCAAGTCTACTATGACGTCGAGAAAACTAATTACTTACTTATACGTATATGAGTATATTTATGTTGTTCGTTGAAATTGCAAACAGTAAAGGAAAAATTAGTAAATGATGGAAAACTGATTTATCAATAAAAAGGAGTAAATTAAAAAAAATAGCTGAATACTGTCTTTCATTATGTGTAAATGCACATATTATTAACGTATTAAAGGATTAGCCATTATTTATAAATATTATGCTAATAAATAATTTATTAGAATATCTATTACGTAATTAGAGGCATAAATGAAATGCAAAATCAGATATATTTTGACGTTTGTAAACTATGTTATTTTTATCTACATCCTTTTAACCTTTTTTGAATCACTTGGCAAATTTTGGTAGGGACTTCACCGGTTGAGCCAAAACCAAGACTCAGGGCTCGCTTCACAATCGGATTCACCTTAATAGGATGGTACCTACGCTTCGTGTTTTTTTGATATGAAGAAAATATTTTAGTTGACGTGGGATAAACCTTAATGTTTCTTCCTAATAATTCACAAAAACGATCGGTTTAAGTCGAGAGGTAAAATGCTAATAAACTACAGATTTATTTTTGATATTATCATCTTTTCGAAAAAAGTTTAAAAAGTTAATCGTTTTGTGTGTATTCATTTTCATTTTTCTTTTTTATATATATAGTTAGACTGTACTTAATCGGTTTATTGTAATTTGAATATTAAAACTGAGAATGTGTCAGAAATAGTAATAAGGGCGGGTCGGGTGTCTCTATAATGTGATATGAAATGGCGGACGGAGTGGTAGAGTTAAAAGGCGGTTGCAATTTTTCTTGTTATCGGCGCCGCTGGAAAGAAATTAACTTTTATTCTTAATAAGGAGAATCAATGACTGGTATGTTGAACTGTGACAGTTTGTACTAAAAAGGTAACGTCACGTCACCCAAGTATGCCATGTTTTACACTAGAAATTCATTCTGGGAATTTGAAGTTGACGTCAAGTTTCTTTGAAACCTTTTTAGAATTATTAGAAACTGGAATTCTGCGTTAATTAATACTAAAGTATATTCAGTTTATATTGCAAATATGCGATGAAAACGTAGAAACTGTTGTTGCCGTTCGTAAGAAAGTATAAAATCAATTTTGCATTTTAAGCTAATTAAATAATATTTCCACTGCAAAAGCAAGTCGTTAAAAAACAATAAGCTTCTGTCAAAGTATTGATTATATTCCTGTTTATAAAATCATGCAATAAGGATTAAGCTTTCATATGTCTCTAATGCATTTCTCCTTTTTTGTTCGCAAATCTGATCTTACTCAACAATACTAATAACGAATAATACATGAAACACCTTTTCAATAAAAAACATATTTTTTATTTATTGTTTTTTTAATGTTAAATACCTAGTTTTATGCTAGAGTAAAATATAATAAATATAAAATAATCTCAAGAATATAATCGTCAATTTTTAACTATAGGTTTACTTAATTAATTACATTATTGGATAACTAATTACGTCCTACGTTTTTATATGAGCAATTTATTGTTTTTGAGCAATTATTATAAACACCCTGTGTAAAATACTTACTTTTTGTTTTAGAAATGAAATATGTGTGCGTCGTGTGTTAACTAATGAGTTAATAGTAATAATTAAAAGTACGTAATTCTGATATGGCCACTTCTTTTTATTAATCGATAAGACAAGAACTAAATAAATTACCACGAGGTGTGATATGTATATTTTAAGTTTAATTTACTTAATTATCCTAAATTGTGTTTCTTTTTCTATTTTATTTAATTGAACAACAGGAACTAGGAAACGCAGTCCATAAAAAAATAACGTTTCTTTCAGTGTGTTTCTGCATCCTATTGTAGTACATGCTAATTATGTTTAAGTTTTTCAGCCCTACTATTCGTCGATTGATTATTCAGTTCAAAAATTTGTATAAATTAAGTAAGCCGAAATGTTTCGATTCAGTTGTTGTAAAATCAAATCACAGATGAACGATTGTGTCTTTGAGCTTCCTCGATATATCTCCAGCCTCCACTATTCCTTTGTGGTACCTTTCACTTGTTGTATCCTCTTGGGACGAAACGTCGTATCGTACGCCCAATTCAGTTTCTTGAATATCGTCGTCTTTTCTTCGGTTACTTGGGAATTCTTCAAGATTCAACGATCCGAGACCTGTCACTATTACATGAGACAAAGTTTGCAAATTTCCTGATCGAGCTCCCCGTGAATTAGCATCATCGATATGATTATCTTTTTTTGTAAAATGATTATTATGCAAATGCTTCACATGATAACTGTCTTTGTCATCGTTTGTAGGGATCTCGTTCGTTTCTTGAACGGTAATTCCATGAAATTGTTTGTTTGGGCCATACGTTTTAACCTTAGAGTGACCCTGGATGATGAGATAGAAAGGACCTCGAACAGGTTCAGTTGGTTGTTTGTAATGTTTGAATAATGGATCAGTTGTCATTGAGATGTTTTCTTCAGTAGTAGTTACTGGGGGTTGGGTGGTAGCGGCTGATGAAGTCTGTACAGTTGTTGGCAGAAACGTTGAAGCAGCAGGAGGTTTAACTGTGTTGATTTCTTCAACTATTTGTTCACTTTGAAGAATACTGTGAACGGTATTTATTAAGGGTTTCTTCCGAGGATTTGAGGACATCATATCCATGTCTGGTCCTCGTGGATAGTCGGAGGAAGATGGAGACATCATTACTGGCAAGTGTACTTCCGGTTTCATTATTGAAGGTGGAGGTGGGGGTTGCATGGTTTGCATTGTCTGAAGAATTTGGAGAGTAACCGGTCGTGGTTTGTTAACTATTTCCACAGGTTTTCTCATTGAATTTTGTAAGTGAGGTGCTGTTACGGACATTGGATTAGAATGAGGAAGAACGTTCATAATAATTGGGGGTTGAGCAACTGACATTTTTGGGGGTTCAATAGCGATACCAGATATCCCTGAAGGGGGATGCATTTGTGCTTCAGCTTTTCCTATATTCACGTAGGTGTTTGCTAAGCCCAAATCGGCGTCCGTTACTTGCCCTTTAATCATAATTTCTGGAATCTTTGATGAATCTTCGTTTGTCAAAATGAATGAGTTTTGAGAAAATCCAGTTAAAATTTTACCGGAATTATTTCTAGAGTTTTCTAAGGAATCGGTAACAGTAATTAAACCTCCTGACGGCCTCATTACGAAATCTAGTGTAGACGAATTCAAATTGGGTTTGGAAGTTTTATAAACAATCTGACTGCTGGCTGATGGAAAAGAACCAAACTGGTTTTGGTTATTTGTAAATTCATTTTCATCTGCATAAGTACTAGACTGATATCTAATGTTAGCCTTTTCCACCGTTACGACAGATTTTTCATTTGTCTTTTGTACTGGCGAAGATGTACTTTTGTTTTCTGCGTTGCCACTCGAGGGTATCATACTATTGTCCTTTTGGTAGGGTCTTGAATTTTCTTGTGCTTGCAGTGGAGGAGGTACCAACATAGTGTAAGGCATTCTTTGTTCCATTTTATATTTATTCGGACTATATTGCGAAGATGGATAATAGGAAGACATGCTGTAATGAGGCTTCGATATTTTTTGAAAGTTGTTTGGGATATTGAATTTGGGACCTTCGACCATTTTTAAAAAAGGATCGTAAGAATCTTTTCTGGAGTTTGCTATGTATCTGTCATCACTTCTGAAGTCACTATAATGGGAATTATAGTCAGCTGACGTTGATGTTCCGGTACTAGGTTTTTTTGAGGTGACCCCTAGAAGAAGTATTTCAGTTTTTTTTGGTTCTTCTGGAATTGAATGGTCTGGTTGTCGAGATTCGGGATCTATCCAGTACCGCACGCGATCTAGCACAGGAGGCACATAATCATATGTTGGGTCGTGTTTCAAGGGATCCCCCATACCCAATGGTGTCCATTGTTCATAATCCATTCTAGGGGCAAATATTCCTCTACCTTCTTTGACGTTTTTGTGATCTGTCAACAAAATCTATTGTTAAAAACCATTCAGTAATTTATAAACGGACGCCGAAATGTTCAATAAAGAAATGTCAAACAATATAAGTTGTTGATGTTATGATTTCCTTATATTAGTTCCTGTTTTTTCATTAAATTCGTAAATCGTATTTTGTTATGTTTGTTATGAATTGAAAGTACGAATTGCGGAAAGTTTGAAATTTTTTTTTCTTCAACGACGAGTAAAACGGAGAGCACGTATGATAGTGGTTTTACCACGACGAAGACCAGTAAACAATAAGGACATAAAAGTGAATACGACGTCAATCTAAGACATGACACACTGACCCATTCAAGCTTCGGACATTACTTGAATAACGACAATTAATCTAGAATTCTTTCTACATTTCATCGGCAGCACGCCGTACGAACTCTACTTGGAATAGTGCACTTATCTATCTTACCATTTTCCTCTTTCAGTTCAACAGATTTGATTTCCTTTCCGGAATCGGTGGCATCAGCAACCAGACATGGCAGGACTAAAATCCACGCCACTAACCACCTCCTGTTCCGGTTTCTCATGTTCTAAAAAACAATTAAGTACTATCGTCAATGTTATTATTTTTATAGAAGTCTAAAGTATTAAATTTGTATAACAGAGACTCTTACATGATGAAACAAAAGTATCGTGAAAAATTCGTTGGAAAGCTTTCTGTGTCTAAATGTACAATTTTGGGAATATGATAAAGACAAAGATCTAACGATACTGAAGATAACTATATTTTTATTAGGTTTGATAGGTTTCAAACAAGTTTAAAGAGTCTATTGTAGGATGGAGGAATTATCCGGTAGTAGGTATACGTAATTAATGAAACAGTAGTTTAATTTTTCTTATCTTCAGATAATAGACACCCTCTCTAAAAGTCACTTTAGTTTGTTGTCTTTTTTGTGCTTTCTTCTGTTCCTATTTCCTATTTCATATATGCATAGACGTAGAACAGTTATTTCAAAGGTCGTACAATATGTGGTGTGTCCCCAACGTAAAAGGTAGCGACTAATTTTTCCCGTAGCCATTCGAAACACGTACAAAATTCGAACCTTAATGACAATTTAAATATGCACAGTTGAAAGTAGAAAGTAGGTGTGGATTCCCATTTGATGTAATTGACGTGAACTTTTCCAGACGCGAACTTGTGGCGTCATACAATACGTGATTTAACTTATTTTTTTGAAATGCAAGTCCGTTGTGGTGCAGAGTACTCACAACTTGCAAGTATAACCAGTATTTTCAATTGTCTTATAATTCAACGCGAATGAAAGTAAGAGTTTGAAGATTCACTTTAATCTTCTTACAATTTTTTGCTAAAAAACGTTTCAATCACATGATTTCTAAAAATAAGATGATTGTAAAGGTCAACAGAAATGTTGGCCACGTAGATGATTTCGGAATGATCAAGGAATTGAAAAACATCGGTTCCGATTTCTTTTCCGGGCTGTTTTGCTGCGGTCCATGGATTTATATACGTTTTGCTATCCTTAGCTGATGTCAGTGTTGATTCCACATCACCACTGAGGATACGTGGATATAAACTTTGACAAAACAACCTAGGAAAGAGATAGAAACTGACCCACATGGACCAAGAAAGCTTTAGAATTACAGTATTGAATAATATGTTGTACTCAGTGGCTGTCTAATATTGCAACCCTTTGAATTTTTAAACAATACAATCTAAGTGGCGTCTGAGAACGAAAATCAAAAATAAACTTGGGCATTATCACGTATTTAGACGTTGATCGCCGCCGGATTGTATGAGCAAAGACAGATAATTGATCTATTCAGCCCTTGGTATTTCTTTGTAGTTGCTACAGAATATAGTGATGTAACGGAAGTGTCATAATGGAAGCAGAAGCGGAAGTGTAATGATTTTAGATTACTTTTTAATGCAGTGGTCGTGCGCCCTTTCCCGAATATTTCATTACAAATTTTGTATTTGGAATTTGCATCGTTAATATCAACAAAATAATCCCAAATGGAACTTCTTTTTTGGTTCAAAATTGCATTTTCAACTTAAAATTTACACCGCTGAGCAAACACTATTAAAAATAAATAAACGTTGTAACTGTATTAGTATTTTTGAAATGAAATTATTAGAATTGTTTAAAAGGGAGCTGAAAATCGTGGACGTTTCTAAATTAAATTAGGAAACTAACAAGAAAATAAAATTTGGAAAATATCAACATACGAAATACTAACTACTGAGCAAGTGCTTTAGTTTGATCACGATCTGCAGTGGTACATTAGTGACAAAATTGTGTATCGTTCTAAATCTTCAACGACCGACGCCCCAGTTGAAATTCAAATCGTATATTTATTAGAAATGCCAAGTTAAAAAAGATTTGTTTTGTTTTCCGTGTATGTGTCGCGGGGCCAAGCCTGTGTAAAAAAACGGTGCTCGAAGATTAAATAGCGGAAGCTTCATCCATTAACCTCGCGTGTGTGAATCCGATGGCAATTCTCGGAAGAAACCAGACGGCTGGACGCCGCTCCCGCAGATTTCGAACACCGGAGACCACATTTTATAATAACTTACTACACATAACACACACAAAGAGAAGACCTGTTTGTATATGTATATAAATGCATGCGTATCTTTAACGCACACTTTGTATATATGCATTAAGTTTATACATTAAAAAAAACCAGCTGGTCTTTCGTTATTGTTGGTTGTGTGGACAAGTAGGCGTGATTCGGCCCTTTACTTGTTGCATCGTTAATTTACGATTAGAGATTGAATCTAATTATACGATATAGCAAAATTATTTTACAATTTCCGTAATAGAATTGTTAAATCAAAGTATTGCTGAAGAATCAAAGCTTATTTGACATGAAGAGCAAGTGAATCCTGCCACAAACTTATGTCGAACAGTTTGCCTTACATCTAATTTTAAGGTGATAACTGGTTCCAGATGTTTTTCGTGATCGTTTCTGTTTAATTCATTAATAAACATGAAAACAGAAGAATTTATTAATTTTCTGATGGTTTATCTGATTCGGAGAAAGATAACCAACAATTTTTCTCAAGGCGATATGTTAGGATGCAATGATCAAACCATAGTGTTCATAGAAAGTGCGAACTGCTTCTGCTACCATTAGCATTAAAGATAAAAATTGCTTCCAAATCTATAATTGAAATTACAAGATGCTCTTGAAAATCAAGCAATAAGTGCGTAATAGTTTGAAATTTGGACAGACGTATTAAATAAAGGACCAAAAGGTACTCTCTATCGTACTTTTGAAGCAAGATGGATGTTAAAATACTTGGTAATTTGGACTTGATAGGAATAGTCTTTATTTTACTATATATATCAGGGTTTCCAAATACTGGAATCGAAAAAGTATTCGGGTATCTGTACCAAACAGTCCCGAAAATATTCCTGACATCGAAATATTGATGTTTCGTTACGCTAAATTTTTATTGAAAAGAGGTTTAGGGAAATCAATTATTTACATTGAAGCAAGATGGCTGTTAAAGTACTTGGTAATTTGGATTTGATAGGAATAGTCTTTATTTCACTGTCTATATATCAGGGTTTCCAAATACAGGAATCGAAAAAGTATTCGGGTATCTATACCAAACAGTCCCGAAAATATTCCTGATAATAATAATGCTTCGTTACGCTAAACCTTTATTGAAAAAAGGTTTAGGGAAGTCAATTATTTACATTTGAATTTTGAAATTAAAAGAATATATATAAAATTTGTAAAACAAGACCAAAGTAAGCAGATAACTAAGAATACCCGAATTATCCATAAGAATATAATTCTCGAGTAAAATCTCGGAATAATCCTGGTTGCAAATCCGGTACCAGAAACCCCATGTACTATGTCTATACTGAAAAATTCAAGTTGCACTAAACCCAAATGAAATTAACAAACCATTACAGTAACAAAAGTTGCTTTTGACATCAATAAAAGAAACGCTTTCTTTAGATGTCTATTTATTTGAAAAGAAAAACCGTCTATTACTTTACTGGAATTGAAAGTGTATTAGGAAGGAATGTGAAGATTAAGTGCTCTATTGTATAAAGTTTCAGATATAAAAGCTCCAAGTTTAGAATAATAGTTAAAATGCGCAGACTTAATTCTCAGTTAGAGAAAGCATGTAGTATATACATTCTTTATGGGCATATGAATTATGTTCAACAATTACTTATCGGTATTAATTAATGTAAATGGTAAGTTTGGGTCAGCTGACGGATGGGACAACGGCGACTCTTCCTCTACCACGGCTCCACGCAGTCTGGGTTTCACACAAGCCATCGAAATTATTACCACATATTACAAAAAAGAAAGCTCAAGTAACAGACGTTCTACTAAAACAGTTTATAAATCTAGCGGTTCTTATTATGGCCAAAATAAATCACAGCATCATTAACATGAAAAGATACATGTTACATATCCACAAAGTAAGTAATAAAGTTTAATAATAAGGATTATGAAAATTTATCGCCTTCTATTTCCAACATGCCCCAAAAAGGATTCTTGCTTTTCGACAATCTTTTTTTTTTCAAGCAGTACATATGGTGGGACATCTAATCATTAAAACATAGCCGATTGCCCAAACTCATTCTCTTATAATTGGAATGATGACGACGAATATGAGGACAGATTTGAAAGAAGAATCGACATTTCTTGCATTGAAACTTAATTTATTTTCGTATACATTCGCATACACATTTGCATATAAGGATCATCTATTGGTTTGATTATTTATTATACATTATACATTAGATAAATGATACTAGAGCGGTGAAGAATAATACGATAGAAGTCTTGTTTTAAAGGATGCATCATGTCAAAAAATTCAACTGTGTAAATGTACTTTTATGGTGTCATGCAGATTTAGAATGAATAACATGGTTTTGGATTGATTTTTTGATTAAAAGCTCTTGTGAGATATTTTACTACTACGTTACAGAAACTACAGTTTCTGTAACGGCTTCAAATATACTTCTCGCTTTTTATGTCGGGATGCGTTTACTAGCAAATTGAGGATTAGGCACATATTGGAAAATAGAAACTTTTCTAAGGTCACTCAAAGGTTTGTGTTTCTAAGGAACCATATGATGAAGATAGCTAGTATGCTGTTAATTAATCGGAATTTTTAATTGAAATTCATCAATCTTGTAATAAGGTGGAATGTTTGAATGTCAATATTCATTAAAAAGTTACGGTACATGCCGTGCACCATCAACAGGGGTACCATCCGTCCAAACATTGGCGAGTTGTACTAGTCTCGTTAATAAAATTTATTTGTGCCCAACTCTGACGATACAAAATACAAAATAATAACTAGTAACTTCAGTTTTTCCTGATAACTGTTGAAGGTGTCGATTGTTTTTAGGCCGTCCCGTTTTTTCGTATAGAGGTGTTTTGAAATTGAAAATTTTTGTATTGACCTAACCCAAAAAAACTACAATTGAACGTCTGTCGTCGGGCGTTCCAAAACTACCGCTTTAGGAAGTACAAGTCATACGCCCACTTGTTTAACTCTTACTTTACATTAATTTTCGGCTGTTCGCGAACTAAGTGCAGATGAGGTGACTGGTTTTCCAACACGATAATACGAAATGTTCGGACGCACTTCATTACAAGTACTTTTATCTAATTGTCGACACTTACAAATCATTCATTGCTTTTCACGGCAGAGATAAATTGAATGGCTTTGTCGACAGGAATCAGAAGACAAAATTAAACATATTTACAGGATTATTGAAAAATACGTAGAGATAAAGAGATACTACGAATGTAATTTTATCTGTCATGGTAGGAAATAATTAATTATTCGCATAAAAAAATATAAATTCAATTCAACTGGGAGAATTCACCTTGCAATTTAATATTGGCACAGAGTAAAGAAATTTAAATAATTGTGACTCTTATAAAAGGTGAAAAATATAATTGACGTTTTAAAAAAAATATCCGGATCCATACAATTGCTTAAAGGACTTCTATTACAATTAATTTAATTTGTTTATAAAGCTGAATATAATTTTGAGGTGTAAATTTCAAAACGACTATTGAGAATAAAACTCCAATAAAAATAAAATTAATAAGATACTCGGCATACAGTCATCATAATCATAAGGTCGTCAGTCCTAAGACTGGTTGGACAAACATCACCACTCCTTGCTATCCTGAGCTAATTTCCCTAAAACTAGAACAATCCATATCCTTATTTGCGAACAGTAATATAATCTAGGTCTACCTCTACCCCTCCTAACTCCTGTTTCTGCCTCTAGTATGTCTCTGACTAGACCTTCATGCATGAGAAGGTATCCTACCAACCTATCTCGCTATTGACTTCCTTAAAATCCTCTGTTCTACTCTTTCTAATACCTCTTCATTTCTAACCTTCTCTATTCACGGTATCCTCATTATTCGCCAGTAATACCACATTTCGAACTCTTCTAACCTTTCCTTTTCCACTGCGTCCACCGTCCTTGTTTCGCACCTGTACAGCGCCACGCTCCAAACATACACCTTTAACAACCTTTTCCGAATTTCTAAATTAACCATTCGCGAGCATAGAAGTGACTTCTTTTTATTGAAGGCGACTCGACCCTGCGCTATCCTCTGCTTTATATCTTTACTACTCCTTCCGTCCTGACTTATCTGACTTCCCAGATACCTAAAATCAGCCACTTCTTCGAATTTTTCGTCTCCTATCTTTATATTCGCTCTTTTTTTTCCCTTGCATACCAGTTTTACAATTATTATATATTTTCATACAATACTGTTTTGTCAATACCGCTTCCATTTTATTTAAAGCTATCTCTAACTTCTCATTGCTAGATGCTAATACTGCTATATCATCTGCATACAGTCGATACATAATACATTCATGTTACTAATTGTAAATTGGCAACTTTGGAAAATTCGGTTCACGATGCAAAAAAGACGAAATTAATGCTCGAAGAAAACTGTTGTCACTCAGTCGGTCTCGGTTACAAATGTTAATAAACCGAATGGCTATTATCGTAAACGTTAATAAATGTACTTAGTCGCTTTGCGCACGAGAGTGACAGTAATAAATGAAGTCATGCGTGGGTCAAGTCGGGTAACATGGGCACTCTCTGATGATGGCGTGAGAAAATGTGTGGGTGACTGGTGTCACCTTCCGATTTATACAGGAATTGTCCGTGAAAATATGACTTTCGGATTTCGTTTTTCCTTTATTACAAGTACGAAAACTGAAAACGTGAAATATTTACAGAAAGCAAGAGTTTTAAAAACTACGATCGGTGAGGGACTAGAAAATGACTAGAAAATTAGTAGTAGTTATTGCAAAATTTTCTACTTTTATTTATGAATATGATAGTTTGAAATAAATTGTTGTTGTTTTGTTTGGCCCAATTATTGCTTTGGAATGTTGAATTAAATGAGCTTTGTCGTTGTTGTTTCTTATTATTCTTTACAGAAAATACTCGAAACAAGAAGTACCTACAAAGAAAGCTTTTTTTTTTTTTCGTGATCAGTCAATAATCTAATGATTATATTTTTATGAAACTAATACATTCGAGTAATAATTTTAATGTTGTATTTTTACCTATTTTTAGATATCCGCTGTAATACCTATAATTAAAATGATAATTTTACGATAAAAAAATTCTTCCTCCTTTTTTTTTAATTTCTTGTAGCCTTAATTTCCATTAACTAAGTTGGCTATTAACATGAAGATGTAGTAAATTTGTTCGCAAAAGTAGATACCTCGCCTTTATTTGTTTAATATCGCAATAACATGTTAAACATACTTCTTGTTTTGTGTATTATTTAGATTTGCTAAACACACTTTTTACAGGTGGAATTGGAATAGCAAGATAATTAAAATTTAACATCTTCTAGTCCCTCACTGATCCTAGTTTTCAAAACTCTTGCTTTCTGATATTATGGTATAGATTAAACTACGTTTAGGGGATCTAAGGATAGCTGTTTCCTTTAAGTACGCCAATGCTTTTCTCTTACAGAATTGATTAGCTGTAAAATAAATTTGATGGTTTAGTTTTTAAAACGTCGAAGTACCTTTCTATGGTTAACGAGCGGAAGTTCATAAAGTTTATGATTTCAAATTTAGATGCATACATGACACAAGTAAAAAAAGCAAATTCTCAGCTTGCTGTGGGGTCGAGGTGTACTTCTATTTACATAAATGTCTTCAGGTTATTTTTGCTACATCACTATAACACGCTTACCATAAATCTAGCGTTTTATTTTACTTGAGTCTAATATAAAGTGTATTTAATAGGTATATGTATAGGCAATAAATGCTATCAATTGCTGTCTAATGCCTATTATCCTTTCTCTCTAATCTCCTAAGCTCTTTTGAGAAGGTAATTGATACGTATATTAAAATATTAATTTATATTTACCCAAATATTTTTGAACTAATTAATTCTTGTTAGAATTAACATAGATAATAATAACAGAAATAACTACCCTCAGCGATGTGATGACTTATAGCCAATGTTTCCTTCAAAAGGATTAATTGTTTGATATAATTTACCAATAATTGTAACGTACACGCTTATAGCGTACAAAAGTAACGATGAAATTCTGGAATGAAATTCTGGAACACTCTCAAACTTTTGGTGACACATGGTTTTAACTTTCTGTGTTTAATAAATTTTGTCTTTGAGTGTGTTCCACGAAGGATAATTAAAAGAAGGGCTCTTTTTCTCTATTTTTTGTTACAATTTTATGTTCTCGCTCAAATTATATCTACACATTTGTAATACTTGATAATGAGTTTGAAAATTGGTCGAAAAATCAACCACAACTTTAAAAACATTTTTATATGAAAATCAATTGTTTTTAGGGTTTCATTACTTATCGTTAGCTTTTAGAAACCGTAAAAGAGTTTCGTCAAAGTTCGAATGTATTATTTTTTATATATATTTACTCGAACAACGATAATTTTTGAAAGAAAAGTACTTACCGTGTGAATTCCTCTGTCAAAAAGACACTTGATGGTCAGTCAGTGTTTTCCTTCAAGTTGATTGATGGCGCACTCAATCCGATGAACAGGGGGTTGAATTGCTTGCCAAAATAACTTAGCGACGATCAAGTATCCTTCGAAAGGACACGTTCGTTTGTTCATGCGTTGTTATCGTACACTTTGAGTTGACACAGCGCGAGTTGTGGGCTTACGGTGGTAATTGGTTCGCTAATTGTTATTGTGACTCTCTCTTAAAAGACATGTGCAGACTGGTCATAGCCGATCACAATGAATAGCAGCGACTCGCTCCCTACCATCCTCATTATTTTCTCTTGGATCCATTCATGATGCCAGGAGGCAATGCACACTCCGATGGTAAGGGGATAATCATCGGTAATACTGAGCAATGGTGAACTTGATCGTCTGTTCGTCCAAGTGCCGAAAACGTGGAAAACTATTTATTTTTATTTTGAGAAGTTTTCTTGTGGGAAACAAGCGATATTCACGCAAATATAACCCATTCTGACATAGACGCTTATAAGTTTCCTGACCAGGTACTTACTATTTGCAAAATATGTTTTATTTTTTATCATCTCTGGGAACTACAATTACTTATTGTTTCTTATGTGCCACTTTGTCACTATACTTTGGCTGTTTAATGGTAGAGCACTACTGTATTTGCTTTAATGTTCCATTGTTTAGGAACTATTTTGTATTGTACACAAATTCTTATTGATGTCTGATTGTTCGTAATTTTATTATTGAATTAGAATTGTGAATTAAAGAAATTATTTTAAAATTCTGTTGAAAGTTTCGCTATTTTCATTGCAGCTGTCTCATTTCTGCTCATTCTTGTCGCCAAATCCTAGTTTAAGATGTATTTTTGTTGGTTGGTCAACGAATTGTTTATAGCTGAACGGTCAATGAATTGTTTATAGTTCAGCACATGTTTGAAGATAAAATTTATTTATAAATTATAATCTATTATCCATTATCTTCAAAAGTAAAATAAAATAAAGCTGTTTCTGAATTCNATTTTTAAGAGAGTGAAATTATAGAATCTCGTAACTCAATAACTTCAAACACCATTGTAGAACTTTAGAGGGGGATGAAATTTACATCATTGGATCCAATAAAATCTATTTGGAATCAAAAAGTTTGACATAGGGTCATTTTCCGTAAGGATCCAATAAAATCTATTTGGAATCAAAAAGTTTGACACAGGGTCATTTTCCGTAAGGATCCAATAAAATCTATTTGTAATCAAAAAGTTTGACATAGGGGACATGTTTGAAGATAAAATTTATTTATAAATTATAATCTATTATCCATTATCTTCAAAAGTAAAATAAAATAAAGCTGTTTCTGAATTCAACAAAAGTTGCTTTCAGGATCTTTTCAATTTATTTAAGTAGTAGCTGCCTCGACAGACTTCGTCCTGTCAAAAGTTATTGGTCGGTCGCAGTCGAATAGAAAACATAAATAAATAAAATACAGCTTAATTCTTAATCAACTTGAAGACATACCAAAGATAATCTTAACACGCCTTTATTTTGTTTTGATTGACGTTAAGTGTTTGACAGCAGACTCTATCGTTTGTATGAGAAAAGAAAAGTGAAGATTTTAGGTTTTTCTGGGCAATTTTTCTCTTCATAAGAACCTTCCTCGGGCTTCAAAGAATATTAAAAACAATTATCTAAATTGGTCTAGCCTTTCGAGTTTTGCGCTAAGCAACACATTTAGCTATCCATTTTTATTTATATAGATGTTAATTCTTATTAGTAAATTTGCAATAAAAGTAGTGAAATGTTTAACAAAATTTCGAAATCNCAGAGTCATTTTCCGTAAGGATCCAATAAAATCTATTTTATTTCTCGAACTAGATCACGTTAGCAGAAGTCCAAAACAAAATTCAACTACGCTTTCAATTACTTCCTAAAAGACAGTTTCACATTTGGTATAACATATGCATTTCTCCATATATAAATACACTACATTATTCCAAACTTTCTCACGCTATTTCAGCATTATGTGATAGTATTTTTAATAAGTAACTGTTGAACAAAATAATGAAACCGAAATTACCCTGAAGAACCATCTAATATATACGAGGGTGGATTGATAAGTTTCTGGCCTAACCAAGAGATGACGCCACTAGGCCTACCTTGAGGTGACATTCTATAGTACCATCCTTGGATAGCTTGTAGCTATAGTTTCAGCCCGATCTCCTTGCTAGTGTAGGTTTGACAGCACGCTGAACAAGACGCCTCTGTGGTTTTCGTAAAAATGGAAAAGCAGGAAAATCGTGCTGTCATCAAATACTTTTATTTGAAGGGGTTAACGCCGAAGGAAATTAAAAAAGAGATGGACTCAACACTGGGGACATCCTCCCCGTCATATTCAACCGTTAAGCAGTGGGTTTCCGAGTTTAAAAAGGGTCGTGTGAGCACCTCTGATGGGCCTCGCTCAGGACGCCCCGTTGAGGTCACAACTCCAGATATGATCGAAAAAATTCATCAAATAGTGCTGGGAGACCGCAGATTGAAAGTGCGTGAGATAGCTGAGACCTGTAAGATGTCATATGAACGTGTGCAACATATTTTGCACCAACATTTGCATATGGAAAAGCTCTGTGCAAGATGGGTGCCGCGTTTGCTAACAGTCGACCAAAAATTGATTCGAAAAAACATTTCTACCGCAAATTTGTCATTGTATAAGCGTAATCCAAGCGAATTTTTGCGTCGATTCGTAACCGTTGACGAAACGTGGGTCCACCACTACACTCCTGAAACCAAAGAACAGTCTAAACAGTGGATTGGACCAGGGGAACCAACTCCAAAGAAGGCAAAAACAATTTTTTCGGCGAACAAGGTTATGGCTACTGTTTTTTGGGATGCAAGAGGTATTATATACATTGATTACCTTGCAAAGGGTAATACTATCACTGGTCAATACTACGCAGACTTATTGCAACGTTTGAGCCACGAGGTGAAAATTAAACGACCTCATCTGGCGAAGAAAAAAATCTTGTTTCATCACGATAACGCACCAGCGCACACGTCAATCGTTGCGACGGCTAAAATCAACGATCTAAAGTTTGAATTGATGCCGCACCCTCCTTACTCTCCAGACCTAGCCCCGAGTGACTATTTTCTGTTCCCTAATCTCAAAAAATGGCTTGGCGGTAAGAGATTTGCGGACAATGAAGAAGTAATCGAAGCTGTAAATGGTTATTTTGAGGAGCTTGACGAATCAGTCTATAGAGATGGCATTAATAGACTGGAACACCGCTATGAGAAATGTATCAGCCTTGGAGGAGATTATGTTGAGAAATAAAAAAAAAAAATTTTTAAAAACCTTGTTTTTCTTGGTCAGGCCGGAAACTTATCAATCCACCCTCGTAAATTATCTCGTTCACGATTAAAGACGTTACTTTTCATAAAAACATAAATTTTCGTTCAATGTATTTCAAATAAATGCTTAGTGTTCATATTGCTCTGACAAAAAAATATTGTATTTATTGTACCCGCGCTGCTGAGATTTCTTAGAACAGACAGAACTCTTTTGCAGACATTAACTCAATTGATGATTGGACAGCTTTCTCAGGTTGACATACATATTGTTTAACAGAATACACCTAAATTTGCGCTGCTCTTGTCTCACCCATTAAGTAAGTGTTTTTTTTTTTCAATCTTTTTTAAATATTTGCTGAGGAAAGGCTTAAGATAATAATAGTGTTAACATACGTGCTTGTACAGTTTCAAGATGAGCGACTACCAACGAATATACGAGGGAAGTTTCATGTGATATTAGTCTAAGATAGACAAGGGAGAAATACGTTTTTATTATAATTTGTATCTCCGCATTACGTCAATGTACTGTGAACATCGCGTACACAAAACCCCGCGTAATGTGAACAGTATATTAGTTATTCTAGGCCACCGTATACTGTGAACAAACCTCCGCTTATAGAAACTGATAACTATTGGAATTAAACTCGACTACATTTTAAAGGACCCCGTTAAATCCTTACAGAATTGGCCCTCTGTTAAACTCTTTGAAATTTTGAATTTTGATAGTTCTCAACGTGTAAACCAAAACTCTCAAAGGGCGCTCAGTCGTAAAACCCATCTTTTTGAGATATGGTCCTTTAAAGTTGTTTCCGTAAGGACTTTTAAGGTACAAGGATACCTATTATACGTATTAATTATGTCCAAGCATACAATACTGTATTTATGTCTTTTGCATAATATGGATGTGTCATAGTTTCGGACCAGGCACTTAACGTCATATTTGGAATCAAAAAGTTTGACACAGGGTCATTTTCCGTAAGGATCCAATAAAATCTATTTGGAATCAAAAAGTCTGACACAGTGTCATTTTCCGTAAGGATCCAATAAAATCTATTTGGAATCAAAAAGTTTGACACAGGGTCATTTTCCTTAAGGATCCAGTAAAATCTACTTAGAATCAAAAAGTTTGACACAGGGCCATTTTCCTTAAGGATCCAATAAAATCTACTTAGAATCAAAAAGTTTGACACAGGGTCATTTTCCGTAAGTATCCAATAAAATTTATTTGGAATCAAAAAGTTTGACACAGTGTGATTTTCCGTAAGGATCCAATAAAATCTATTTGGAATCAAAAAGTTTGACATAGGGTCATTTTCCGTAAGGATCCAATAAAATCTATTTGTAATCGAAAAGTTTGACATAGGGTCATTTTAGGTAAGGATCCAATAAAATCTATTTGGAATCAAAAAGTCTGACACAGTGTCATTTTCCGTAAGGATCCAATAAAATCTATTTGGAATCAAAAAGTTTGACACAGGGTCATTTTCCTTAAGGATCCAATAAAATCTACTTGGAATCAAAAAGTTTGACACAGGGTCATTTTCCTTAAGGATCCAATAAAATCTACTTGGAATCAAAAAGTTTGACACAGGGTCATTTTCCTTAAGGATCCAATAAAATCTACTTGGAATCAAAAAGTTTGACACAGGGTCATTTTCCTTAAGGATCCAATAAAATCTACTTGGAATCAAAAAGTTTGACACAGGGTCATTTTCCTTAAGGATCCAATAAAATCTACTTGGAATCAAAAAGTTTGACACAGGGTCATTTTCCTTAAGGATCCAATAAAATCTACTTGGAATCAAAAAGTTTGACACAGGGTCATTTTCCTTAAGGATCCAATAAAATCTACTTGGAATCAAAAAGTTTGACACAGGGTCATTTTCCTTAAGGATCCAATAAAATCTACTTGGAATCAAAAAGTTTGACACAGGGTCATTTTCCTTAAGGATCCAATAAAATCTACTTGGAATCAAAAAGTTTGACACAGGGTCATTTTCCTTAAGGATCCAATAAAATCTACTTGGAATCAAAAAGTTTGACACAGGGTCATTTTCCTTAAGGATCCAATAAAATCTACTTGGAATCAAAAAGTTTGACACAGGGTCATTTTCCTTAAGGATCCAATAAAATCTACTTGGAATCAAAAAGTTTGACACAGGGTCATTTTCCTTAAGGATCCAATAAAATCTACTTGGAATCAAAAAGTTTGACACAGGGTCATTTTCCTTAAGGATCCAATAAAATCTACTTGGAATCAAAAAGTTTGACACAGGGTCATTTTCCTTAAGGATCCAATAAAATCTACTTGGAATCAAAAAGTTTGACACAGGGTCATTTTCCTTAAGGATCCAATAAAATCTACTTGGAATCAAAAAGTTTGACACAGGGTCATTTTCCTTAAGGATCCAATAAAATCTACTTGGAATCAAAAAGTTTGACACAGGGTCATTTTCCTTAAGGATCCAATAAAATCTACTTGGAATCAAAAAGTTTGACACAGGGTCATTTTCCTTAAGGATCCAATAAAATCTACTTGGAATCAAAAAGTTTGACACAGGGTCATTTTCCTTAAGGATCCAATAAAATCTACTTAGAATCAAAAAGTTTGACACAGCGTCATTTTTCGTAAGGATCCAATAAAATCTAGTGGTAATAAATGCAAACGTCTTCGATTATTTACATATAATTTATATTGAATGTCCCTCGTAGAAAGAGTGCATCCATGCATGTGTATGAAACCACGTGCTCATAGAGTCGTAGTAAGCTAGGATGATGTCTATTGTCATAAATCGTTTGTAATACCTCCACTTGACAAATTACATGCGGCTAAATAGTTACATTGCTGCACCTCAAACAGCAGCAGAAGTCTTTACAATGTTACTTATGTGTTTAGGATCGTATTGAAGCACAAGTGCATCTAGCAACATTCATTTTACAGCGCAAGAAAGCGGAAAGAGGATGGGATAGGATATCATAATGTCTTTCATTAATGTTTACTGCTTTACCTTGTCTTTATATTGTACTATATATGTGGGTATCGTAAACGCATCGTTCAATCTCAAAAGCAAATAAACAACTTCAAGTATCGTAATTATCGGTGATATTAGTTAGAGTTTCATACAATACTATAAATGAAGACGATGTTTCTTGCAGTGGACTATGTTTTGCATAAGGAAAACTTTCCGTTATTGAATACTTAACAAACTTTTTACTAGACTTGCAAAATTTTTGAGTAAAAGTATTTGAATTCTTTTCACAAAATGTATATAGATGAATAATTCCTTTATCGTTTGTATTTGAAATGTTCAAATTCAAGTCAGACTTCTGTGTAACGTAAGTCGGACAGGATATATCAACGTACTATAGTTTTGAAATGGTAATGTGTTATCGATATAGTCAATTTACTAAGTATTTTATTATTCATTGTAAATACCTATCACTGTCAAGAATTACAATATTTATATTTGTATTGTCAATTGAGAAAAGAAAAGGTTAGAAGCGTTTGAAAAGTGGTGTTACAGGCAAATGACGAGGATACCGTGGATAGAGAAGGTTAGAAATGAAGAGGTATTAGAAAGAATAGGAGAATAGACTCTATGGAAGTCAATAAGAAATAGGGGAGATAGATTGGTAGGATACCTTTTCAGGCATGAAGAGTAGGGATAGACCTAGATTAGGTTACTGTTCATAGGTAGTTAAGGATGCGGAATGTTCTAGTTTTTCGGAAATAACAATATTAGCATAGGATAGGAAAGAGTGAAGGTGCGTGTCCAACCAGTTTTAGGACTGACGATCTAATGATGATATGATTACAAATTCTGTTTTTAAATGAATAAAGTATTCTTCAAGAGCTTAGACAATTTTATCGATATCAGTGTTACCAATTAAATAATTTCAAATTTTGGTGTTTGAAATGATAGGGGGGCAAACCGGATTGAAATTATGAATTCTTGCGAATAGCCTTAAAACTAATTGAAATTATCTCCTGATTTTTTTGAAGTTTTTGTTAAAATTTAATGATTTGAACATTTCTACTTCAATTAATTGCATTGCACGATTTCCTGGTTGTGGTGTGCTAAAGAATTTGGCATTACACATCGGTCACGATTTGACTCACAATCTCAGAATGTGTAAAATTCGCGTATGCACAGCGTGATTCTTAACTTACGTAGCCACTGTTGTTGAATTATCTGTGACCTATTAGAACTTGAAATATTTACATTCTGCAAACGCTTTATGGGTACCAGATTCAAAATAAAGAGCACCACGTTGGAATTTCGTGGTAAACGATTGTCGTCTACCACTTTCTCTTTGACTTCAATTGTTTTTTGAAGAAATTACATTTCATATGCAAAATATTAAGGCTTACATCAGAGCAAAACAATTTATTTGTTTTAATTAGTATTTCTTTATTAATTTTAATTAAGTATTTAATCTTTATAAATAACGTTATTTTGTTTTTCAATTAACTTTATTTTTCTGCAGGTGCTGAGGAAGAGTTATGGTGAAGACATGAAAGTGGTGAGTTATTTTTCCCCTTTTATTTTTAATTATATGAACAGATGACTCAATGTGTCAATAATTGCATATAATAGAATATTACCATGTTCGGTTCACAATTCGCCACTGGTGTGCTAGTGGGCATATTTAGATGAATTAATAGATTTAAAAGTTCTTTTGGATTTAGAAATTCAATACACCTATTCATTTTGGAAAATAAGAAAGCGTAAATTTTAAAATTTGATGTGTTGCAATACTTTTGCATTAGCTACATTTTTAAGAGAGTGAAATTATAGAATCTCGTAACTCAATAACTTCAAACACCATTGTAGAACTTTAGAGGGGGATGAAATTTACATCATTCGAAAGGTACTGTACCATAGATATACTTAAAATTAAAATCATTTGCATATATTATCGTTAAGGCAGGTAATAAAGGGATTAAATCGATCGGAAAATGAATCAAGGATGCCTGGAAAATACGTACGTTATGAATTATTTCACTGTAACAATTTTATGTTCATGATTCATTTAATAGTATATCAAAAATATTAAGATCGACAATACGTGTACTATATTTTCAGCGTTATTAAAACAAAAGACCTTCGAGGTTACTTAAACTTTTGTTTTGCTCTTTTAAAAATTTACATCACGAGTCGGTCGTAATGATATGGTGCGTCGATGTAGCGTTTTGAATAGCAAATGTAAACTTTCTTAATTTCACTTCGGCTTCGAGCGGTCATGAACTTGTGCATCTGATTGTCTGATTAGGTGGTTAATAATAATTGTCGAACGATATCGGAAATCCGTTATACCTCTCTGAATAATGAACGTTGGGTTTATTTATTTGTGGATTAACGAAAAATTATGTGGAACTCAAAATAATCGTTTTATATTCGCATCCTCATTTTGATGTGTACTCACCTGAATGGTGAAAACAGAATCCTTATAGTTTTGTCATGTCTGTGCATTATTTTTCACATCCTTTATGATTTGACCAACTTTATGTGTTACATTTTTTTTATTTATTTATTTTTTTATCGTTATGACAATATTAGCATCTAGCAAGGAAGTCGACCAACTTCATATCATACATTTTTTTTGTGCGAGTAAGAGTTAGAGATAGCTTTAAATAAAATTGATGCGCTACGGACAAAACAGTACTGTATGAAAATAAATAAAAGTAAAACAAAATACTGGTATGCAAGGCAAGAAAAAGTAGGGAAAGAGCGAATATAAAGATAGGAGATGAAAAATTAGAAGAAGTGGCGGATTTTAGGTATTTAGGAAGTCAGATAAGTCAAGACGGAAGGAGTAGTAGGGATATAAAGCAAAGGAAAGCGCAGGGTCTGTCGCCTTCAAAAAAAGAAGTCACTTCTATGTGCGAACGGTTAATTTAGAAATTCGAAAAAGATTTTTAAAGGTGTATGTTTGGAGCACGGCGTTGTACGGGTGCAAAACATGGGCAGTGGGCGCGGCGGAAAAGAAAAGGTTGGAAGCGTTCGAAATGTGGTGTTATAGGCGGATGATGAGGGTAACGTGGGTAGAAAAGGTTAGAAATGAAGAGGTATTGGAAAGAATAGGAGAACAGAGGACTCTATGGAGGTCAATAAAAAATAGGCGAGACAGGTTGGTAGGACACCTTCTCAGGCATGAAGGTCTAGTCAGAGACATTAGAGGCAGAAACAGGAGTTAGGAGGGGTAGAGGTGGACCTAGATTAGATTACTGTTCGTAGATAGTTAAGGATATGGGTTGGTCTAGTTTTAGGGAAATGCGAAGATTAACTCTGGGTAAGAAAGGGTGGACGTGCGTGTCCAAACAGTCTGACGACTTTACGATGATGATGATTTATCAATATTTTCTTGGAAGTCCACTTCTGAAACTTTAAGATCCAAAATATTTTTCATCTTAGTGTTTCTAAACAAGACAATACAAAAATTTGGAAAACGATTTGAAGATAGGCACTTATGAGTCGGTATCTACGTTTAATTGAAACTGTTTGAACACCCTCAGTTTATTCGTTGTGTGATATTTATTACGGAACCCTTTGGCGCATATGCCTCAGTGATATAAAATTTTGTGTTTCGGCTTTGCACATTCGAAGAAGAGAATACATTACAAGAAAAGAGAAATTATACTATGGACCTTATTTTATAATATATTTAACTAAATAATTATGAATACAGAAAATGATACTTACAATACTAAATATATGATAGATATATACTTGTATCTATGCACTTAATAATATGTAATTACTACACATGAAACGGGTACGCGGTTTGAATTCGGTACCCGGCGGATCTAGCATTTTTTTTTTTTGGGTTCTGCCGAATACCCGATAATTCTACCAGAACACACAACAAGAAAAAACAGCAATACATAATAATAATAAGTATAACGAAACCATACATTTGAATTATTAAGAATTTAGCATTAAATTAATTTGAGATCGCAGTTGACCATAAAGGCCACATTGTCAGTATCGGAATAAAATGTAATTCAAATAGCAAGTTTTTACAGTCCTTGATGGGGCTTTCATATCGTGTATCCCGTTACCCGATACCCGGTAAAACCCATCATCCATTAAACACTTTTCACAATTTTTCAATGTCTTTTGATAACTGACACACCGCAGGGTGTTGATTTAAAGCACTCATATAAATGTCTAATTCATCTTCAGAGCTTTCCTCATCTTCAGTGTTTTTTTCTAATTTTTTATTTTCGTCGGCCTCCATTTCGAGATCTTCCGGTTCTTCCGAATCAAAGTATTTTTCTTCTTCATCTCGACTTATTAGTTCCAAATTATCGTATTCTTCATTCTCGTCCACGTTAGAATAGTCGAAATCCTCGTCCTTTCCTTCTAGAAAGTTTTCGTACATTGTAGTTACGAATTCATCTCTGAGAAGCTTTCTTTCCGTTGCAGTTACCATTTGATTCGATGAAGTTTGTAGAGATTTTTTCTTTTGTTTCTGCATATTGAATGAAAATGAAGAAGAAGCAGACGGTTTAGCCATTTCTTCCCATGATGTTGTTGATACGTTTTGGTTAGTATATTCTCCCCAGAGCGAGCAAGATGGTTGAGGTGGTATCTTACTACTAGATTCTGTTTTAGGATTTATTTCTAATACAGTCTTATTCTTTTGATCTCTTTCTTCCTCAGAAGAGTCTTCTTCTGAAGTGTCGCCACAGTATATTTCGTCAATTTCTTCTTTTTTCCGTTTAGATTCAGCTTCGTCTCTCTCCAGTCCTTCCATAAGAATATCTACCAAAGTAATATTACCGATCGCAAGATCCCTTTGCTTTTTCTCTTCATTAGTAAGATACCGACCAACTAACTGCTCATATAATAATGGATTTCTTTTCATCATTTCAGTTTCGGAAAAATATGAATCGTTTTCAACCATGTGCTTTAAAGCTGCGAACCTTCTGTTTCGCGTTCGTTTTGTCCTTTTATCATTCGCCTTGTGAAAAGTATGAAGAAGATTCTTCACTTCTTCCGAATCATTCTCGAATTTAATAAAAAAATTTAAATGATCTGATTTTAGGTATTTTCCGAATCTCGTCAGAAAAGTGATTGCGCCTTTTTTGTATATATTTTGTATTATGTCTGCTTTTTCTTCAAATGATAGTTCAGATTCGTCCCTCTGTTGATTTTTTAGATATACATTTTTCTCTTTTATTAAATATTCCGTAATTTTTTTAAAAGTTATTTCGCCACTTTCGTTTAATTGATTTGCAATGGGGCTATCCGGGGAAATTATTGGGTTTATTTCGATTTCCATGATGCCAGTGACATCTGAAGGAGAAAGCGTACATGTACTTGGAATGAAAATGCTAACGTTAGCAGTTTTCGCAATTATTTTGATTGAGTGATTCAATGTTTAACCTAACTTCTACACAAATTAATAGTGAATGTGTAGTGATATATATTTATGAAAATGAAATGAATGAAAGTGAATAAATTGTGAAGGACTCACCTGAAACTTTAGCTCAATCTCTAGAAAGGTAAGTGAATACTCAATAGTTGAACTTGACACTGACAACTCATTCAGTGAATAACTATAACTTACGCGAAAATTATCTAAAACACAGTAAGTTTTCAATCATCTAATTAAAACAACTTGCGAAACTAACAGAATAAAAGATTCGCGTTAGTAAATAGTAGAGTTGACACGAGATATTTTTACAGAACACTTGTTCGAACGATGGATTCGTTTCAGCAATTTGCTGTCAGGTGGCGATGGCATTGGGAAGATTTGTGTGGCGCGGATGGTTTTCAAATTTGGTCACCCAAAACACACGATTTAGGTTTATGTTTCGAACAACTATGTCTTCAGATACCTGCATTTGTCTTACTTGCAATTGCGTCTGCCTTTTATTTCGGCCATCAAGTAGAATATGTAGCGAGATCAAAATTTCAAAAACACGCTCTAAACGTCCGATGTTTACTGGTAACAATTTTGGCTGTGTTACCACTAATACAAATTTATGTTGATATTAACAGAGTTGATGTCAAAATTGAAAAGATTTCGTACTTCCTATCGGCTGTGGAAGGAATATCATGGTTCGTTCATTTGGGATATGTTTCGGTTTTAAGAAAACGATTGGGTTTGAGTTCACGGGGACCAATGGCGGTTTGCGTCATTTGGACATTAACCGCTGTTTTGACTTTTATCTCATTTCGAACTCATTATCTAATCTATTTAAAACATCCTGTAGTTTCCTCCAGTATTAGCCTTTCTTTTCGGTTCAGTATTGCAAAATTAGTTTTACAAATTTGTTACGGAATAACTTTATTGGTTGGCCAAGGTAACACAGAGTTTCTTCAAAATCAGTATTCTGGGGTAAGTGCACTATTTTTCCATATAAAAGTTTTCAAATTTCGGGTTTATGTTGCCTGGAAAAGCTGGCCTTCAGGATTCCAATCGAGTGAAAAATTTGTTGTAAAAGATATTCGCGTTTTGTCATACGTATCACGGGCTGTTTTCAAAACTCACTTTTATTGATTTGGAATGTAGAATATCAGCTATTTCAGTACGTTAAATAATCTTCATTTTTCTTTAGCAAATGACAATCGATCTTGTTTGTTGTAATAACGATAAATTCATAACGATATGCCATTGCGCATCTACAATCGCGCTGTGATGTCACTGCGAGAGAGCAGTTGGAGACGTTGTGTAAAACGTCCAAATTTACTTATACTTAATTGCAGGACCTCCTAAGCTTGAAATTTTAGGCGTAATAACTTTTTGCATTGATGAATAGAGCAAAAGAAAACGATAATTTTGTTGTTAAGTATTAGACCGCTATAGAACCATTTTGAAATCTGTAGTTTATTATTTCTACCTTCACAAACCAGTTTCGTAAATTTAGATCGGATCATTCAGGGTAATACGGTACAATTATAATAGTCGTCTTATTTTATTATTTTATTACTGTTTCATAGAGTCCATAAGGTCCTTTATATTTCTAAAAGGATTGACAACCGTCCACGCCATTTTCCGCGGTTTGCACACAACACAATCATATAAAACTTTTTATTTTCAGTAATATTGCCCAATATCTCGTTTCGAAGTGACGTCATGCGCGTAAGAAACCGATTGCAATGTTCTAATGTTCTTTTTAAATTTAAGCATTTTTTTCAAAGAGTTTAACGTCTTTCGGAACGTAAAGCACTTCCGTATGTTTAGAGGAATTTTGCAAGAATTAAAAACACTTTTTTAGGCTTCTGAAAGTCAGCCTCTTTTGTATAACGCGTACAATGGCTTTTCGGAAGAAAGAGATCCTTCGTATTTAGGTGTAGCGATGGAAGACTCGTCGTGGTTGCGGAAGTTATTTTTTTGCTGGGTTGACCCTCTCATGAAAAAAGGAGCGCAGGGACATGTAAATAATTCGGAGGATTTATATGATGTACCGTACTCACTAAATTGTACTACGCTGAGTGCTATGTTCGAAAAATCATTAATTGGGAATACGGATGAGATTTTGAAAAAAACTATCTATGTCGATCCTCCAGGTAAATTAAATTTCACGTATGATCAAAGCCTTCATTCCAGTGATTTTTATCAGTCGATGTGAAATATTTATTCATAGGAGGAGAACTGGGAGCTTCATCATCGTCTATTAATCCCGAAATCTCCAATACGAAGTACAGGGTGTCCGTATTTAGAGCGTTACACAAATGTTTTGCGTTTCATTTTTACGGAATCGGAATTTTAAAGTTTGCAAGTGATTGCGCTAGCTTTGCTGGTCCTATGCTGTTAAATTTGTTGGTGTCTTTTATAGACAATAAAAACGAAAACATTAAGGAGGGCTATCTGTATGCGGGAGGACTTTTCATAACTACTTTAATTGGTGAGGAATCTAAACGTTTCAATGGGGGGTACGCCAACAGAGTCCTGTTAATCCGATGTGATGAAGGTTAGAAATTTTAGATAGTTAGAAAAAATTCCTAGTCATAGGATGAAAAGGGTCCTTGTTTATGTATCTTATAGCTAACAGGAGTATGCACAAGAATTCTGTATCTAATCTAATTATTTAACTGACAGAAATATCATGCATTAGAAATAACTCCCATCATCTAATTTATATTATACTTTCCGAAAAGGGACAAAGGATTAGATTCTTCCTGAAAAACTTTTGGGTGTTTTATTCCAATCCAGTATTAATGCGGTAGACGGGCAGTCCCTCCGGACTACGTCGGAGAGCAGAACTGAATGCCCTCTTCATTCTTCTTGTAGAAATTGTGGGAATGGGGTGGGGTGGTGGGTGAGGTGAGAAAGATGGGATGGGCCAAATGAAGATATAAGAAAGTGAAAAAGATTATCTGTGGAGTATTTGTATCCCAGCATTTGCCAAAGTCATCCAAGGAGACCGCAGAAAATCTTGGACCAGAGCAGATGGATCCAGAACCGAACAGGTCGAATTCTAAGCAATGGTCTAAACTTCTACGTCATGCCATTGGGTGCTTCTTCCTGATAAAACTAATATGCTTATACACTTGATAAAATATTTGGGGAGAGGGAGTACTGTTATCCACCTTACCCTACCAGGAATTTCCTAATGAGTGTATTAAACAGCTGGAGTGAATAGTAGTCAGCCTATGCGACCAGTACAAAATTCAAAATTGTGTTTTGCTTATGTGCTTTTAGTAAAACCCCATTACCATTATATATTTACGGAGGGACTTATTTCAACCACTTTTTGAGACGCTTCGGTACGGTTAGGATTTTTGGGACTCTTTTGGATACTACCCCAGAGAACTACATCTTTTTGAATAATCTGTGTGGGCAATCTAATGATAAAAGTTGTGATGTTTCTAAAAAGCCATCACATTATTCGAAAGTGTGTGGTTCTTCCTGAAAAAGCTTGATGCATGATTTTCACTTGTTTTTTTTTTCTTTTACGGACTCCTCATTTCTAAAGATGTCTTCATTTCAGTGGCTTTTTGTAACGCCCATTTCAATTTTCTAATGGCTATGGTAGGACTTAAAATTCGTGCTGCTGTCGTGACTGCCATTTATCGTAAAACTTTGTCGGTCAGTTCGTCGGTTCTCAGTTCACAATTNAAAGTGTGTGGTTCTTCCTGAAAAAGCTTGATGCATGATTTTCACTTGTTTTTCTTTTTTTACGGACTCCTCATTTCTAAAGATGTCTTCATTTCAGTGGCGTTTTGTAACGCCCATTTCAATTTTCTAATGGCTATGGTAGGACTTAAAATTCGTGCTGCTGTCGTGACTGCCATTTATCGTAAAACTTTGTCGGTCAGTTCGTCGGTTCTCAGTTCGCAATTTTCAACGGGTGAAATAATAAACTTCATGTCAACCGACACTGACCGAATAGTAAACGCATGTCCCAGTTTTCACGCTCTTTGGAGTATTCCTTTTCAGGTAACGTTCTGAGCGCTTTTCACGAAACATTTTAGTTGATTTCATTTTTTTAAATTATCCTACATGTGATTCACTTATCTTTATCTCATTCGAATTTTTGACAAGATCTTAGTTTTTTCAACTGTATAACAGAGGTGTTAAATCACCTTCGAGAAAGGGCTGTATGTAGTGGCCCTGACATTCACAGTTGTAAATTTTTTAATTTAGAATCCGTACTCGAAGCTAGAAATGTTTCGTGTAAAGTTAAAATTTGATTAAAACCGTTCTGGCGTGTTCTTCTGACGTTTGACTTGTACTGAAGCTTGCAGTGACTTTATATCTATTATATGTGCAAGTTGGACTGGCGTTTTTGGCCGGATTAGCGTTTTCTGTTGTTTTAATACCAATAAACAAGATCATTGCTAATAAAATTGGAGAGTTGAGCGTCAAACTTATGGAGAGGAAGGATGAGCGAGTTAGAGTTATGGCGGAGGTACTGAAAGGTATTAGGACCATAAAATTGTACGTCTGGGAGCAGCATTTTATACGGAATATTACAAGTAAGCGCTAAAAATAAAGTGTCAGCGGATATGTGGATGTAAAATCCAGAACGTAAAAAGATTGCCTTTGTATGTTATAAAATGGAACGGTTGTATTCAAAGTATGTAACTACTAGAGCTGGGCGATTATCGAATTTAACGATCGATTATTGATCGTAAGATAATAATCGATTGTTTCGATTAATCGGGACAAGAAATCAATCGAATAATTAACTAATGGAAATAATTGATTGTTCAAATTAAATAGAACAATCGATTAACCAAATTTTTAATTAGGAATAGAGGTAATAAATTTTCTGGATAAAGATGACCGGTAAAGATCTAGATGATGGCCCCCACCTCCGAAGGGGGATCGAAAGAGGAGGTCTCCCCCACCGCTGTACCATAAAAAGTTCGTGACGGTCTCACCCCCATAAAAAGTTATAGGGGTTCAAAGTTAGTAAATATGCCAATTTTTATACATTTCTAGGCATGTAAATATTTATATGGTCATTCTTAAACAATATTCAAAGGTAAAACTAATGGAAAAATACATAAAAATATTGAGAAAGTTATATAAAACATTATTTAAATATCTTTCACAATAGGGTAGGTTAGGTTAGGTTATCGGGTTTTGTTCAAGTGACCACCCTCTTTCGATCCCCCACCTCCATCCGCTTGAAAATAATTTTTTTATTGAATTTTATTTGAATTATAGTGTATAAAAATTGACTAAATAATCAACTTTCAACCCCCATAACTTTTTAGGGGGTGAGATCGCCGCAAATTTTTTATGGAGTTTTACTCAGGTGACCACCCTCTTTCGATCCCCCCTACCCTCTTTCGATCCCCCCTACCATCTAGACATTTACCAGATGACTGCACGCAAGAAATAATAAAACTATTCTAGAATTGTTACATTGGTTTTTTGTTCGTTATTTACGGTTAGATGAAGGATTATGTCATTGCTGATTGGTTCACTTATGTATTTATTTTTTTGAAAACAATTAATTAATTTGGATGTTTGAGAGGTCGCAAAAATGAAGATTTTGTAATAATTTCCGTATGTATATCAGGTATAAGGGAGGAAGAACTTAAATATTTGAAAGCCAGAAAGTACTTGGACGCAATGTGCGTATACTTTTGGGCAACGACACCAGTATTAATTTCCATTTTAACTTTTGGAACGTACGTTTTATTGGGAAATGTTCTTACTGCTGCAACAGTTTTCACAAGCATGGCTCTTTTAAATATGTTGATTGGCCCTTTAAACAATTTTCCGTGGGTATTGAACGGACTCACCGAAGCGTGGGTGTCTGTTAAAAGAATACAAAGACTGTTTGATGTAAGTTGAATGTTTAATTAATTTATTTAAGTGTGGCGATAAGGCTCCTACGTATCTAACTTCCCATCAAAAGTAGAGAAGATAAAAGTTTGCTTGGTGACAATGTTTTTCGGATTAAACAGTGGCGTTTGTTAACATTCACCGATGTAAAAAGAGAAAAAAAATTTACTTTTTTGGACTAAATATAAGGTTTGCTGATAATATTAGTAGTTACGACGTATGTTTGTACGTTGTAGTGGTAAAATAATAAAAGAACAGGATAATTCCTTGATGTAAATCACAATGTCGATCATTTTATATCTCATACTATGATTAGTAAGGCCATGCCTCACACTTAAAATACTTCAGTAAGCAGCAAATGTCGATAGATGGCGTGTAATGTCATTAATTGGATATTATTTATTTTCTTTTTCACATTTGTCTGCTGGGACAAAAAAGAGCCTTAATGTCATTTGACTTTTATATTATAAATTTCGCTTAAAAGAAATTAATTACTGCTGATTTCAATGCACCCCTGTTGTTTTATGAAAACTTTAAGCTACCAGATCTCCATTGGGAATCATATTACGAAAAGTCGTGCAACAATCCGAATAATGAAATTGAAATAACCTCCGCTAGTTTTTCATGGATTAAAACGTTATCTCCGGAAGAAATTTCCGCACTGCATTCAGTGAATAGAAAAAGAAGGGTCAAAGGAAAAGGCAAAGGAAAGAAGGCAGTCGTTTTTAATGAGCTAGAAAAAGTGGACGAAATCGAGGAATCGGACACCCTTGTTCAGTTCCACCTAACAAACATCAGCTTTACTGTTAAGAAGGTGCCATTATATATACTTTAAATGTTATAAGTATGTATAAGTTGGTTACAAATTTTAATATTTACTAGGGGGAATTCGTGGGGGTGATTGGAACCGTTGGTTCTGGAAAATCGACTCTACTTTTTGCGTTACTAGCCGAATTAAATAAAACAGAAGGTTCAGTAGCAATTGCAGATATTGAAAAAGGTATTTACACCTAAGAAATTCTCACAATCAGTGGCAGCTCGTTATGTTTCGCGAACAAGACTTATTGCAGCAGAAAAAAAGGAACAACATTCGATTATAATAAAATTGTGAAGTTCAATTAACTATTTTTCTGTTCTGTGGTTTGATTTCTTAAACCCCTGATCTTATTTTCCACTAAGGATGGGCAAGTTGCTCGTTTTTACTGTCACTGTTAAGAGCGGCAGGCGATGTAGTGCACTGCGCAGGAAAGGGAGGAATTTTGAAATTTGTAACATCGTATCGTACCGTATCGTTGTGACGTTATACACTTGCTGCCACTGTATATGTACTCTACATTTCTTTTTTTGTTAAAATTGTTGACCTGTAGGCTTTTCTCTGGTAACTCAACAACCGTGGTTGCAAAGAGACACAATCAGAGAAAATATTTTATTCGGAAAATTGTACGATGACGTTAGGTACAGGCGAGTTATAAACGCGTGTTCCCTTTCTGAAGATCTACTTTTGTTTCCTGGTGGCGATTCTACGGCGGTTGGAGAGGGTGGTTCTACTGTTTCAGGTCTAAATCGACATCGTCCTATTTGTTACATTTATTTAACATCCCTCGCGTTGCAGGAGGTCAAAAAGCGCGCATAGCTTTGGCAAGGGCCGTATATCAAGAAAAAGACGTGTACCTTTTAGATGATATTCTTTCGGCAGTCGATGTGAAGGTTGCAAAACATATTTTTCAACATTGCCTTTTAGGGCTTTTGAAAAACAAGACTAGAATATTATGTACTCACCATGTGCAATTTTTAATGCATTGTGACAAAATTGTGGTACTGAAAAACGGGACAATTGATCAAATTGGTAAGGAATTCATGTTCGAAATAACGGGTGGTAGAAAACAAAATTTAATATTGCAGGAGTTCCTCAAGAAGTTCTTTCTAACATCGATGCTTCTTTACCTATTGATTTAGAACTGGAAGAGAGTACACAATCAACTGATACGACTGAAGAAAGTGGGATAATAATTCCAGAATCCACTGATAACGATAGTATATTAAATGAGGAGTTTAGCGAATCTGGGACCGTTAAATTTAGAGTGTATTCCGAATATTGGAAAGCTGTAGGCCATCTTCTCAGTGTGTCGATTATAATTGCGATGACAATAATGCAGACTTCTAGGAATATTACAGACTTGTGGTTGTCGTATTGGGTTTCTAACTCAGAAACGAAAAATACAACGAATATTTCTTCACCGTTTAAAGGTCAGTTTTCATTATTAGTGTCGCACTCATGTCTTGTTCTTATTGCTTTCGTGTCGTGTCGTTTTGCATTGAATTTTTACTTATACGATCATGTTCATATCGTGTTTGTCCCACTAGCAAAGATCTCAAGGTGTTAATAAGTGAGATGGATCAAAACGAGAAGGATTTTGTGGTAGTTTGTTCCACGTACATTCTTTTAAAGCGCAAGTAGAAGAAGATCCAGAATATGAAACAGTTTTGGATACATCCACCACACGGATACTGTCTTTTACTAAGTGATTGTCGTAATCTTTATGACATAAACGTAGATTATAGGATGGTCTTGCACGAGAACACATAGTTTTTCGTCTTTGGTGGTGCATTCATCACTCACCTATGTCACTCATTCTCGAACCATGTAATCTCCCGATGCATTTCGTTGTTCGACTGTTTTCATCAGCAGGATTTGATAGCCGAACCTCGTGTTAGCGCCTATATTGCAGTTTTCATTAAGCCCATCCTGTTGCTCCCATGCTCGTGTCCACAATCGATTGATAACAGACAGTTATGACACGATGGCAGCACGACAGGAACATGGTACGTCTAGTGAAAATGAAAATGTGGTTTCCCTACGTAATACCAGTATGGTAGCAACACGGTGGGCTTAATGAAAACTCAAATATAGGCGCCTTACGACGATGAGCGCTCACATCAGGTTCGGCTATCAAAGCTTGCTGATAAAAGTAACCGAACAACGAAATGCATCGCGAGATTACATGGTTCGTGAATGAGTGACATACGTGAGTGATGAATGCACCACAATGGACGAAAAACTATGTATTTTCATACAAGACCATCCTGCAATCTGCTATTTATCTCATAAAGATTACGACAATCACTTAGTAAAAGACAGTATCCATGTGGTGGATGTACCCAAAACCGTTTCATATTCTGGATCTTCTTCTACTTGAGCTTTAAAAGAATGTAAGTGGAACGAACTATCACAACATCCTCCTCGTTTTGATCCATCTCGCTTACTGACACCTAGAGATTTTTGCTTATGGTACCAACACGGTATGAACAGGATCGTATAAGTAAAAATGCAGTGCAAAACGACAGGATACAAAGGTAGTAGGAACACGACATAAGTGCGATATTAATAATGAAAACTGACCTTAATTATTTAATAGATGACGAAAATCATTTGGCTTTGTGGTCAACTGGAGATTTATTTCGAACTGATAACACTGTTCAGCATTACATGATGATATATGGTCTTTTTGCCGGACTGAATACGATTTTCACTTTCATAAGGGCCTTTTTATTTGCTTACGGTGGTATTTGTGCTGCGTCTAAAATTCATAAGTTGCTGCTCAAGTCAGTAATGAAGGTCTGTAGAATTACTGGGTGTATTGCCTGCTTAAGAAATCTCAAAACGTGTTTTTCAGTCAAAAGTTCCGTTTTTCGATGTGACATCGGTGGGAAGGATATTAAACAGATTTTCCAGTGACACCTACACTGTTGACGATTCGTTGCCTTTCATAATGAATATTTTACTTGCGCAATTTTTTGGCGTTATAGGTACATATTGTATTATCGGATGCGTTGTGAAAAAATTCAATTTCGATTGTTTATTTAATAGGATCTATGATTGTGACGATATATGGTCTACCGTGGTTGTCTTTAATTATGGTGCCGATAGTGCCCATTTATTTTTCCCTACAAAACCATTACAGGTTGACATCTCGGCAGCTCAAGAGGATATCAAGTGTTACGTTGTCACCCATATATGGTCATTTTAATGAAACACTTCAAGGTAAGTGCCTGTGCGAAATGGACAGTAGGCGCGTCTCGATCAGACGATATTTAAGATATATATTTAAGTTTTCTTCGTTCTCGAAGTATCAAGTACGAAGCTAATCTTAAAAGTAAGGTTTCCAAAGTGCTTTCCGAAAAATCCAGAGATTTTGGGAATATTACTAAATACCCATGTACCTCTTACTTTCTTGAAAGAATACGAATGTGAAAATAATTTTTGGATAAAATTAATTCAAAAGTTAACCGTAATAAATCAATTTAAAGTACATACTCCTAGGTACTTTATATTACTTAACGACTTCTTTGATTGGAAATATACATTTGTAATAATTGTATTCGATCTCTAATTTACATTCGGCTCGAAGGACCACGATTAAGGCCTATGAACGATTTAGAGTTTAAAGTTTTAATAAATTAATAATAATGCTGTAATTCATCGACAATTTGGTGATTTCGTGCAATTGGCAGTTTCCTGTTTATTACCTAATTTAGTGAACAGGCGCATTCTTTTTGGAATAAAGCGATTTAGTTTATTAATCGTTGGAATTTTTCGTTGAAGTTTTCGTTTTGTGGAGAGGATGTTCTCTCGAGCATTCGGTAAATGGAAAATACGCGAACGTTTTATTATCTAGTAGTCGAGGTTAATGCCCTTTTGTCTACATTTTTCTTCGGGTTTAATATCTGCCGTCAGGTTCGTTCGATTGTTTACGGACTCAAGGAAGTACACAGTTGATCTTGTATTGGCTAAGACGTAAGTGTAATAAGGACGTGTGTTTGACAGGTCTACCGACCATAAGGGCTCTACGTGCTAATCAGCGATTTAAAAGAGACAACGAGGAAAAGGTTGAGGCCAACATGAAAGCAAAATTTGCAAGTCAAGCAGCGTCTCAGTGGCTTGGTTTGAGGCTCCAATTCATTGGGGTTGCAATGGTTACAGGGGTTGGTTTTATTGCTGTTGTACAACATCAGTTTGACTTTGCCGATCCTGGTATGAATATTTACTATGTACGAGGGTGCGTTTTTAAGTTTGCGGAATGGGTAGGTAGGTCATTAGTGAGGGTATTTACTCGAGTCATTACGAATTAAGCAAGTCAATATTAGTTTAAATACCAAGTTTTATCGTAAATATTGAGAAAATCGAGTACCGCGCTGTTATAAGGTACTTTACCAAGCAAGGAAAATCAGTTCAAACCGTACTGGAAGAGATGTCATCCGTTTACGGGGACTCTTGCCCATGTAAAACCATGGTTTACAAGTGGCATACCCTCTTTAAGTAAGGCAGGGACTCACTTGAAGACGACCCATGACTAGGTCGGACGATCGAGATGACCACTCCGGAAATTAATACTGAAAGATGCCCGAGTTAAGAAGAAACAGTTCCCAGGAATGGTAGGAGTATGTGAAACACCATTTTTAAAATTTTTCACGATCATCTTGACATGACTGAAGTCAGCCCAAGATGGGTGCCGAGAATGGTCACTCCACCTCAAAAACAACATCGTGTGGAGTGTTCCCGCTCGTTTTTGGACCTCTGTAGTGAAGAAAAGATGGAGTATTGACTGGAATTGTTAATGGGGACGAAGCTTGAGTTCATCATTATGAACCTGAGTCCCAACAGAACTGTATGCAGTGGCACAAAAAAAGGCACACCACCACCCAAGACGTTTAAGGTGTCTCAGGCAGCAGGGAAAATTATGACGACAGTTTTTGGGACTCAGAAGAGATCCTGTTGATCGATTATAAAGATAAAGGAGTCTCCATAACCGGAGAATACTGTGATTCAATCCTAGCGCGGTTAAAGGAAACAGTCAAAGAAAAAAGAAGAGGAAAATTGAAGAAAGGTGTGCTCCTTATGCACGATAACGCGCCTGTTCACAAGAGCCGTGTTGCTATGGATGTCCTGTGGACGGTAGGCTTTACCACCTTACAGTCCTGACCTATCTCCCAGCAATTATCATATATTCCCAAACTTGAAAAAAAGTCTTCGTGGGAAGAAATTTTCAAGCGACGAACAAGTGAAGGATGCAGTTTCGGCGTATTTTTCAGACAAAGACAAAACATTTTTTTTTTTTTTCGAATGCATACGTAAGTTAATTGAAAGTTCGGAAAAATATTTAAGGGTAGCAGGAGAATATATTGAAAAGGAAAAATAAATTCGTACTTTTATGTCCACTTCTTACCACCTCATTCCGCGAACTGAAAAACGCTCCCTCGTATAACAGACGTAAATTCCACATCGTCAAATTTTGTTTGGGATCTACGATAATAAAACAAAAGTTTTTTTAATTACCTACTTTAATTGTTTTTTGTATGAGCTGTTCGTCAAATTCTATCCACTACATATTTCCACAATTTTCTTGTAGGTTTGGTGGGACTTGCAATATCTTACTCTCTATCTATTACCAATTTACTAAATGGCGTGGTAAACGCTTTCACCGAGACAGAAAGAGAAATGATAGCAGTCGAGAGAGTGAACGAGTACATAGAGAAAATTACACCGGAAACTAGCCATTTCGTATGCGATCCTCCCTACGCTTGGCCTGCTCAAGGGGTTGTCGTTTTTAACAATGTCGTCCTAAAATATAGGTTAGTAAGCGTACTGCATTACTAAAAGAGCCTTATTAGACATGCAACTCGTAATTCAAAAAGCACTTAATTTTAATACGATAGATAGAACGTATGACCTACAGGGTGTTCAGAAAACAGTGTACTAGCGAATTTTTTAACAAGTAATTAATTTGCATGAACAAATGAAAGGGATGGTGGGATAGTGGGATGGCATTTCTTACAATTAGTTGTCTTTATTTATTATAATATACAAGAGTAAACACACTTCAACGATTTCATACCACATCTTGTTTGGAAAGTTTTTTACACAAATAACGATTGGATCAATAAAATAGGAAATCCCTCCTTTGATATTTTAAATGTAAGAGCAAAGTTCTATATTTTTAGAGAGCATCTAAGTCCTTCCTTAAAGGGAGTTTCGTTTGAAACCAGGCCAGCCGAGAAGATAGGGGTAGTGGGTAGAACAGGAGCTGGCAAAAGCTCTTTGATAACTGCCCTCTTACGCTTAGTCGAACTTTATGCTGGTTCTATAATAATAGATACGGTCAATATCGCACATTTATCTTTACAAGCTTTAAGGTAAGCTGCGCAAGCGACAAATTTTATTGAGACTCTATTCACTTGAATACGTAAAAAAGCTAAACTATGCGAATTGCAAATACTTTGTTAATAATAAAAATGTTTATTCTTTTTTTATTTATTAGGTAAGTATTTTTATACATTTTATTAATGTTTTGAACACGAAACTGGAAACCGTTTTCCGGCGTTTGTGTAGGTACTTTTCGTCCTGAAGGCTTTTGGTATTCGCCGTGGTCCAGCGGATTTAACTCCACTGGAACACGGTGAATCCCAAAAGCCTCCTGGGCGAACACAAACTCGAGCCGTGGAAGCGTACGTTCGATTGTGTACATTTCTTTTTGTTTTGTGTACCAGATCTAGAATTTTTTGCATTCCACAAGAGCCGTTCTTGTTTTCTGGAACAATACGTGAAAATTTAGATCCGCTGGATGAATTTCGCGATCAAGAGCTGTGGTCGGCTCTATCAAAAGTGGACTTGGGACATATGGTGAGAAATTTGGGCGGACTTGATTATAAAATCGCTTCAGCTGGAAGTAATTTATCTGTTGGACAAAAACAGCTGTTTTGCTTAGCACGAGCCATACTTCACAACGCTAAGGTACATTTTTATTATAAATTTCCTTTAGCATTATGATTTACCGCAAGTAATTTATAACATGTAGTTGTAGTGATTAATATTTTAGACGCGGGCCCGATTCTAAATGCGGAACGTACTCTTTTTTCGTTTATTTTTTTATTTTGGTAATAATTGTTCTCACAATTATGCAGAACTGTTTTAAAGTCAGTGTATTGATTTTATACGACCGTGGATAAAATATTAGTCTGCGAACTCATGTTACATTTGGGATCAACGGGGAGTATTTCAAAAATGGCATTTTATCTTTAGTTTAACCGTTCTCATAACTCTTCAAATAACAAAGATGCCAGTACATAGCAGGAATTCTGGGGCACTCCGTATTTGGTCGCTGACAGTGGTCGTTTAAAATCAATAAAGTCAAGTAATAGGGTCACATAAAATACCTTGACCACTTGTCTAATAATAGTTAACAAAGTGATCATTAACAGTTACGAGGGACAAACATATTCCGCGAAATGTAATCATTTCTAACCTAATTTTCACAAAATGGATACAAAGCTGTAAGGGCGCACTTAATACGTGACCCAGTGCATGTTAGAAAGTTAACCATTTTTAATTTTTGTCTTTCTCTTAATCTAAAAGCTTATACTGACTTCTTTGCCTGTAAAAGTCCCTCATTCAATATTTAACTAGACAATTTTCAACAAACTGTTCACTTCTTGACAAAAACTAATAACGTCGATACATCATACGGTGCAATGCGAACATGCAACACTAACGATGTAAACATCTGTGACAGAGATTAATACGGGGTTGTTATGGTATTTGTCCAAGTCACTGCGAATAACAGTCGCGCCTTGCAATTACCGTGTGGGGCTTTTCTTTAAGTGCAAGGGGGCTTTGTTTCAGATCGTATGTGTAGACGAGGCGACGGCCAACGTTGACCAGGAAACCGATAGGCAGATTCAACAAACCCTTCGGTCAGCGTTTAGAATGAGCACCGTAATAACAATAGCTCATAGAATAGAGACGATAATGGACTGTGACAGGATACTGGTCATGAAAGACGGTCAGGCCGTTGAGTTTGATACACCCCAAAGTCTAATGGATGATTTTAATTCACATTTCCATCAGATGGTTAATCATGACTAAAACTTGTACAATTGTGTTATGCCTATTAATGATTTTTATGTATAATAGTTGTAAGATTCATATTTTATATTACTTATATAGATTTAACTGGGCAACTGATATTACGAGTATATTGTGTTCGTGATTATATTGATACGTATGTAATTAAGTTAAAGTTGATCAAATATATATTGTCTACTTATTCAATTGTTTTTTGTTTTCATTTCTTCTTATTGGAAATGGAAATGCAATTTGCTGATTTACTTCATAAAAAAGGTAAGTAAGGATGATGGAATAATAGGTTATAATCAATTTCGTAATTTTATCATCATCATAAGGCCATAGGTCGTAAAACTAACTGGACACACACACACTCACTCTTTTCTATCCTGAGGAAGCTTATGTTCGGATTTCCCCAAAACTATAACATCCGACGTCCTTAATTATTTGTGAACAGTAATCTCATCTAGGTCTACTTTTTCTCTCAGCTCCTGTTTCTGCTTCTAATATATGTCTAAGTAGCCCTTCATGCCTGAGAAGGTGTCCCTATAAATCTATCTTGCCTATTTTTCATTGACTTCCATAGAATCCTGTGTTCTCTTCCTCTTATTTCTAATCTTCTCCATCCACGGTATCCTCATCATTCACCTGTAACACCACATTTCGAATGCTTCTAACCTTTCCTGTTCCGCTGCGTCCACCGTCCACATTTCGCACCCGTACAGTGCCGTATTCCAAACACACATCTGTAACAAACATTTTCGAATTTCTAATTTAACTTTCGTGAGCATAAAATGATCCAAACTTACAGTTCATTTCTAGGTATTATTTCTATCTATTATTTTCTTCACTTTACTGCTTGCTGACTTTTTTTAACCAATAAACTATTGACTATTGACTATTTCTATTGACTTTTTACTATCAATTGTTTCCTATACATTCCCCAAATCTCGGATCTAAATTCGTATTTTTCCTACCTATACAATTTTACAACCAAGCGTCTGGAATTTTCCTTACATAATTAGAAATCGGGAACAAAGCTTTTTACAGCATCCTGTAAGTAGGGATTGGCCGAGATGTGGAAGTGTTATTCGAATTCTATTAATTTTTTTGTTTTTTCTTTCGTTAAATTGATCGAGGGATAGGGATGCATACATAATTGGACAGCGGGCCTATGTAAATAAGTGGCAGGTAGGGGAGTTGAAGTATACGCTGGTACTACTGCTGCTTCTGTTGGTATGTAACTCAAGGAGATGCTTAATTCTTTTGCGGTAATATTGTAATGAATTCTTCAGCGTCGCATTGTTCCCGAAACAAAAGAAGGTGCCTTTCTAAATCCCGTGCGTAAATGGATTTACGAAATATCACGCTGAATCGTACCGAAAAACAGAGCGAGGAAGTTTCAAAAAAATAATAATAGTAATCGTAATTACAAGATATATACAATCAGTCAAGTCGAGCATTTGAAACTTTTATAGAGTATGATTACGTCACAGGTTCACCGAGAAACTCATATCTAATTCTTGCAAGTACGGGATTTATTATGGAGTTTTCTTTGATCACCTATACTAGTCAAAGCCATTTCCTTTAGGATACTTTTAAATTAATAGAATTTTGTAAAAAGAGCAGACTACTCCATATTTCATTAATAAATGTTAATGTCTACAAATATGTTAAATATTTATAAGATTAAGAAGGTATATTCATGTAGTATGCTGACGTGACTTAGAATAAGTTAGGTCTTAATGTTTAAATTTTAAGTTGTTATAGTCATAAGAATTATTTACTTATATTTAAGAAAATGTACATGTAGCAGTCAGATCCTCGGACGCAACCCTGTCATAAAGTTTATTATCGTTGCTTAAATAAAAAGACCTCTGGGACGGTCAAGAAGTACCGATTACTGTACAATTTTAAAAAGGACGGAATCGGGAGTCGAAGAATAACCCTCGAAAAAGTTAGACGTCGTAAGGGCTTGGCTCATTCATCTAAAGCTTCCATGTTCTGTTAAGTTAAATTTATTCATTTTGTAACTTGTTTCTTTAATAAATCCTATATTTACACGTCCCTGTTAACGTTACTGTTATATCCCTACATTCATATATATCCTAAACACATATTTCATAATTTTTATTTTCTGTAAAGGATAATTCCTAGTGATAATAGTTTATACGCAATTAATTCTTTAAAGTATGATTTACGTACTTGCAATACCTACATATGTATTTGTGTTGTCTTGCCAACTTCATCCTCTTCTAGTTTTTCGTGAAAATCTGTTATCTGGAGCTTTCGATTGATTGTGTGTTGATGCAAGCGGATTTTCACACACTCGAAAGATAAAAGCATTTGTATGGTGTACATATGTTCACGTGTCTATATTTGCAGAGACGGCACTCTTGGATATGTGCGAGTGTGAACTTTTGCAGATACTTGAGCACACTAACCGCGTTTATCAATACACGAAGGCAGATTTGTCTTCGATGCAGAAAGTGCTTAATCTGCTTACTGTTTTTAGACGGTTCACGCGTCGAGAAGAGCTTTCGTACGCCGCTGTGTTTCGGTAGAACTCAACCAAGCCAACAAATAGATCAAACTGCCAGAAGAATTTTTTGTTTTTGTTACATGAAACTGTAATAATCTCTAAGTCGGTTTATTTAAACATCTATTCTAGACGGAATTCAATTTAAGCTCCTGAAACATTCTTTATGTCTATCAGTATTGTAAAATGTGGCTGAATGAAAGATATTCGACTCCAAGGTAGTCAACCATAAAATGAGAATAATGATGAATGAATGCATCCCAGTTTTTCAGTACCTTTATTTGATGATTTGCTTTCGTATCCGAATGGCAAAGGTGTCACTTCTCGGCTACTTATAATAATATGAATATTGAAATGTAATGACCACATCTGAGTAAAATAAGCATGGGCTACAATTATAATACAATATCTGTAGAATTTAAGTGGTAATTTGTTAAGTAAAATTATAAATCGGTAATTTTCGTGATTTTTTTAAATACATGACTCAACAAGAAAGACACAGCGTGAGAGAGAGAGAGGGGTGAGAGTACGATATTCTATATCCACGAATATTTCTTTTGTATGCTTGATTAAGTCCGAATGATTAACTATACATGACTTTCGGCCGAATCCCTTGTTTGTGAAGTCTAGCAGAAAGTGTAACATGTCAGGGTTTATTTTTTAGCTACACTTTTAGGTTTTCTACGACTTATATTACGTTTCAACTTAAAGAACTCGATTCTCCTGATGAATTGTTAAAACGCATCACAGACGAGCTGATTTCAGCTACCTAACAAATACAAAGCTAATGATATTATAAAAAAGAGGTAAATTAAATAAATGTAACCGTTCAAGCAATTGCAGTAAAAAGAAAGTAATGATTAAGAAATCATATTTTCTATTTACTGTTCATCTATGATCAGATTAATATTTGTACCATCATTAAAAAATTCTGATATTTATGGTTTCCAAGAAAATAAATAAGTAATGACTGTTTTGTTTTTGCCCTTATTTATCTCTGAAGTAATTGATAATGCTAGAAAATAATAATTCTAAGTTGAATTTACCTTGATTTGTTTAAATAGCTCATTTTTGTACTTGTGAGTATGTCTGTAGTGAGCCATTACTTTTTTATGTATTTTTCCAAATTAAATTCATTAGATAAAAGGTGTATTAATTGCACCAAAAGTGTTGTCCCCTTAACCTCCGACATACACGATGCACCGTGTAACATTACCATTTATAACAACAATGCCACTTTCACTATTTGAAATTAAAATGAGTAGAAATTGTAGTGGTGCGGCGGTGGATTCACATCCCTCATCCCCCTGCGATTTTAATTATGATAATGACCGAATATATCAACGTAAAAGCATCATCTCGTATAGAAGAGCCCAGAAAGTTCGCCTTAATTACTCGCGAGTGTGTAAGCAATGATCAAAGAATTAAAAGTTATCAACAAATGGAATATGTTTATACAATAAATGTCGCAATATGAGAAAGAAAACATTCAATACAAGCGTTCTCTCGCGGGACGGGATTATTGTGTACAAGCCGGATCATTAGATGGAATTCTAAAAGAGTATTCATGTACGAGGTATTTAAAAACCTGAATGCAATTACTCAGGAATTACAGGGATCAGTGTAGAGAAGTAATTCATTAATATGATTAATTCAATATCCTTTTACTTGATGAGAATTTATAATATCATGAAATTAAAAACGCTTGTAATTTTTACAAGTAATTCATTAGTTTTTGACTTTGTCGGGTTACTCAATTGCGTAGAAAGTGTACTAGAGAAATTTCTTAAAATTTCTTGATGAGAAACGTTGTACTTTTATAATCCTGATATACCGCATGCGAAAGAGTGGATCTTCCTATAGGCAATCTCGAAGTATACAGTACAGTCAAATACAAATTTCTATACAGCGGCAGTTCGCACATAGTCTGTCATCTTAAAGTGGCGGATGAAGCAAAATAACTTTGAAGAGATTCATTATCTTCTTTGATCGAATGAGTGAAACTGGTACTGACAAAGAGGACGATCGGAACCTAAAGTTAAGGTACATGTAGTTAATGTAATACTAAAGATGTTTCGTGTGGATAATGTCATAATAGGTAATTACAGCAGGCGCAGACAACGATAGCCACTTAGTGGCAGATTTATTGTTCTATCAGCCACTATAAGATAGACAGACTATATGCGAATTGCAGCTTCGTAGAAACATTTTTGCTATTATTGATGAGAGCGGCATATTATAACTCTACAGCAAGATCTGCACTTTCGCATACTGTATAAGATTCTTGAATTAATGATTAAAAGATCTTAGAAGTTGCTTCAATATCAAATACATTACCCGAAAAAAAATGCAAAAAGTACAAATATGGCTGTATTTTCTCATTGTTGCCAAATGTTAAGTAATATTTGAGATTTAAATTCTAAAAGCGGTTATTTATTGTTACTTTCAGATCATGGTGTTATGTAAAAAAAATTTAGTTGGTTTTCGTCCAGCCGATTTTGGGCATCCCACTGGAAGACCTTTCCATCCTAATTGATTCAATGAGCTGCTACAGAGTTATGGTGAGTTCTTGCTAGTTTACTAAGTTATAATCAGTTTAATATTATAAATGAAGAAGCAATAAAATCGATGGTTAGGTGAGGTCGGGGGTTTATAGAATTTAGTAGTGGCTAAAGAAAGGCTTAAGTTATGCCAGAGGAATTTTCCCGCATCATCATTTTTCGGTAGAATTTTTTGTAACGAGTAGGTTCGGTAATGCTTTGATAGAGAAAAAAATGTTGATTAATGAATATATGTTGACATGGAAGTTCAGGGTGGTTGTGAAAAGATATTGTGGAGACTTAGAGTAAACACAAGGCAGTAGAATGGAGACAGAATGGTCTGAGAAGAGTCCAGGAGGAAGCATAGAGAATCAGAGTGATCGTCAAAAATTCAGGAATAGTCATGGGGGCTCAAAGCAATGGCAGTGGAAATCCAGTTAAAGTGACCAATGATATTGTCGAAAAAGACAAAGAGATTCAGAGTTGTCAACGAAAATCCAGGAAAGGAAGCTCAGAGTTATTATAGAAAACGTTCAAAAAAGAAGTGGAATCTCAAATTGCCGTAGTCTAGAAAAGATGTGAAAGCTCAAAATAGTCAAGGAAAATTCATAAAACGACATGAAAGTTCAAAGGAACAAGGTAAAGTCATAGGGGCTTACAGTACTCAAGAAAAGCTCAGATCATGGAAAAAGAAGACCAAGGATTCTGTAAGCTAAATAAGTTAGGGATAATGGCTGCAGTAACTGGTCAAAGAAGATCAAGGAAAATACATAAATTTTTCATCTCTTAAGCAGTAGACACACCGTTACGATCTTCCATCACGAACAGAAGAGAATGTGCATGTTGTTATTACAGTGTGTAGCTTTTTTGCGTTTCTTGTGTTATATGCATTTAGTGGAAGAGTAGACGTTTGGCAACTCAGCAAAACTTCTCAACACAGTTGGACAATTCTGATATTCTGAGCTCCTAGCAAGCAAGCAACGTGGTTCTGTTCCCTCGTTCTGTGTTTGAAACGCCGGTGTAAACAAACTGCCGCTGCTGGCCGTTGTGATTCGATGCGTGATCATGCTGTGCGGTGCAGTTACCTACTAAGCGGCGATATATACTAAACGACCATTCGTCGCTTGTGACTCGCGCTGCTCCGGGCGCATTGCACCTAAAGCTCTTGTGCTTTACAAGAAGACATACGAACGAGTCTTCGAGAAGAACGAATCGGAAAAAATGCGCGAAAACGTAAAAGTTGTGCGAAGTGGTAGCAGCACCAGTTATAATCTGTGCATCTCGATAAGTTCGCGATTCTTCGTAGGACGATTTTAACTTTCTGTGTGGTAGGAGATATAAGATATCCGGCGTTGTGCGAAAAAACTTGGAAAACTTTCGCTGACGGATTATTATTAAGAACTCCGATGATCGCTTTTCTCCCTGATCTGTCTGACTTTCTGAAAAAGTTTTACTAGCTTCTCCGACTTCCTTCCTGTTAGCCTAGCGTAAGTTTTTCAAGTTTTATTTCTCGTTGAATATGAACCAGATCGCTGTAAATCCATTTAATGGATATTGCATGGGTGTTACAGAAAAAATAAAAGGGTTTAATAAAGCATTGAAAGTATTAAGTACTTCTTAAAAATATTTCAAGTTGTTGAGAAAACAATAAGTAGGTATATGTTATTTTAGAACTGAGAGTCGCCACCAAGAATTAATACATCATGTGGGATTTGATAATATACGTAATGTTTTTTACAATTAAAGTATTTATTATTTAAAGGTCTACAAGTGTCCAGGACTTCATTAAAATTTATGGAGAGTATAAATAAAAAACAACATAATAGTATATATCAATTGAACAAATTCAATTAAAAGTTTTTTGTGGATTGCTGAATATTTTTGATTAAAGTTTACCTTTTTGAGAAACACTAAAATTATTTTGATCGTTATCATTTGTAAATTAAATCACAGTAAAAAATTAAAAAAATGCCTAACATTAAAATTATAGCGGTTTTTTTATGGTTATGGTCAATTAAAAGTAATTTTACAAATTCTTTTCCTACCTTCATATAACTTTAAATTATTGCTTTACTAGAGGGAAGGAGGATCATTACAGTTTTATCGCCCCATTTTTAATTAATTTTATTCAGAACTGAAACTCTCTCTCAACCTTCCTATTATTACTCTTGGTATATACTCATATAATGAATCTGAGAAGAATCTTTCGTTATCATTATAAGTATGTGTTACTTTGAAGGCGGATAAGTAAAAAACGGACCCCTGTACATAAGGGGGAAAAATTATATTCTGAGTCAATTACGAAAAGAAATTTGTCGGGAAATTATTTAAATTGGTGAAGTAGACTTATTTAAAAAAAAGTCTAATGACAGAAAAATTTCTTATAAATTCCTTATAGAGTTTGCTTTTGATTTTACGATATTTTTTTTCAAATAATGTACGAATTAATATGCTGCAGCTTTCTTAAATAACATCATATAAAACGTTCATTAAGTGGCAAGAGCAAAGTCAGCGGAACCAAAAAACGGACGGAGTAATTAAATGCTCATTAAATGCTAAATAAGTGCCCTAATGAGAAATTAAATGTTCCGACAATTTTTTCAAAAGTTACTTTTCAATAAATATAAAATTTCATGACTTATAACAATAATTTGTCATAAAAGGATTATGAGCAATTTTATACAAAGAAAATTACTGTATCAGTGATATGCTATTTACGGGCTCAGTAAAGATTAATTAGGTGCGCTAATGGGAAATTAAATGCTTCTACCACTTAATTAACCCCTAATTTTATATTTTCAATGCTTAAATAACTTTTTGCTCATGTTATCTTTGCTTAATCTTAAACTATGCAGAACAATAATTTTGAGAAAATTTTCCTGAGCATTTAATTTCTCAGGATTAGCATTTATTGGTTCATGGGTTTATTTTTGATTCTGTTTTTCCTATATAATGAGCGTTTGTATAATTGTGAAATTTGATGGATTTTATTATGTACTCACTTTATGATAAAAAAGTCCGACTTTTTATTCTTTCATTTTGCTCACATGAAGCATTTATAGAGATTGCTAATACTCTATTACGAACTCGTGCTTAAGCATAAAATCAAACTTTGATATAACTATTCTATTGTTTGTCGTAAATAATACTTATTAGTTATTTCTATTGCCTATTGTTTATCAATTTGACGCAGGTATTAAAAGAATTCGGCGGAAATATTATTACCTCTTCTAGCCCAATAACTGTGTTTAACCAAATTATTTATACTTGATGTGGTTTCTATTGTTGAACTGGGTATACTAAAAAAAGACAATTCAATTGTAGGAAGTTGGAAGTATTTGTTGAATATTGTCGCGTGATGCAAGTTAAAACTTTTTTGTTTGCATACGATCGCATGCAGCCCACATGTTTCTATTGTGGAATGATGTGTAGATAATAGGTGTACCTACATTGTCCAATAATAATAAAACGAGCACATGCTAATATACAGTTCCGATTTGTTTTCATCAGCTGAACTTCTTTCAGAATATTCTTTTACAAATGCTATTCGAATTAACGACAGTAAATTGAACGTTTAAACTATTAAACAGAATAAGAAATATTAACGAAGTCATGAGCCATCACTATAGATGTCGATGTAAAAGGACTAATATTGTTACAAAGATCCAGTGTTTATTTTATCATTTATTCATTTTCATTCGAAACGAGTTGACCTTTAACCGCTCTACCACTTCCTATTGGTTAAAATAGGAAATTAACTGTCCGCAGTATTGTTCAATGTTCATACTTTCGAAGATTGTTGTTTACATCATACATATACCAGATTGCTTAATAGGTTTCTACATGACTTTATTTAAGGTTACGTTAATAAGAACTTCGAAAAGAAAACCGATTTTTCCAGATCATGGATGTTTTATAAATAATAAAAGACAAAAAATATTCGTTTAGACTTTGCTTTTAGCAAATACATTTTTTCAAAAGAAAAACGTAAACTGGGCACTTCTGTTTCTTCTTTTGAACACTTTTCGTCGGAAGCAGTAAAAAATCATACAATACAGTTAAATATGGGCGAGAACTTAAATAAATATNCACATTTTGTGAAGTTGCTGTATGCTTTGTAACGCTTGCAGTTTTAAAGTGAACTATATTTTTGTGCAGCACATAACAACTTTTCATATTATGGTTTAACCGCTCTACCACTTCCTATTGGTTAAAATAGGAAATTAACTGTCCGCAGTATTGTTCAATGTTCATACTTTCGAAGATTGTTGTTTACATCATACATATACCAGATTGCTTAATAGGTTTCTACATGACTTTATTTAAGGTTACGTTAATAAGAACTTCGAAAAGAAAACCGATTTTTCCAGATCATGGATGTTTTATAAATAATAAAAGACAAAAAATATTCGTTTAGACTTTGCTTTTAGCAAATACATTTTTTCAAAAGAAAAACGTAAACTGGGCACTTCTGTTTCTTCTTTTGAACACTTTTCGTCGGAAGCAGTAAAAAATCATACAATACAGTTAAATATGGGCGAGAACTTAAATAAATATCCGCCGCTAACTTTATTAGTCCGCTGCGACTAGATTACTTCAATGCGAACTAAATTAACTCATTGCGAACTAGAATAGTCCGCTGCGAAGTAAATCAGTCTGCTGCGAAGTAAATCAGTCCGCTGCTAAGTAGATCAGTCCGCTCCGAACTAAATCAGTCCTCTGCGAACTAGATCAGTCCGATGCGAACTAGATGAGTCCACTCTGAACTAGATCAATCCGCTCCGAACTAGATCAGTCCGCTCCGAACTAGATCAGTCCGCTGCGAACTAGATCAGTCCGCTCCGAACTAGATCAGTCCTCTGCGAACTAGATCATTCCGCTCCGAACTAGATCAGTCCGCTGCGAACTAGATCAGTCCGCTCCGAACTAGATCAGTCCGCTGCGAACTAGATCAGTACTAGATTAGTTTACCTTCTACAATATTTAACCGGGATGGTATGATGCGATCTTACGTTATATAAAAGCCTGTGTCTCGGTTCGCGCAGACAATCCACCCCCTATTTAACCGAGTCTTTAGAGTGAAAGTCAATAAGGGTAAAGTCATATCAAAAGCGAAATATTTAATAAATCGGATATGCAAAAACAAGGTTTATGAATCTTCTTGTCTGTTGTAATAGTAAAGAAATAATTACAGCATTTTTGTTTTATTGAAGTAAATTGAAATTTATGAAAATATTTATACAAAAGTTTCCAGTAATAGATAAAACTGGCATCGTATTGTAAATAAGAATCTTGTTTGAAATCGTCATGAATAAAACAAGGGTATTGAGAAACCATTTTATTGCTATTACTTTTTTTATAGTAACCACTTTTTCTTCGCACTAAACTGTCGCGTTTTATCGTTCTTAATTTTAGAACTTGAAGATGAAGTGTCCGTATAATGGGCCATGAAAGGTAATGTGTCCCATTTTTATGTTGACATTTCAATACTCTATTGTATTTTATAGACAACAATGTTTGTGCAACGTGTAGTCGAGCGTGCTAAAACTATTTCCACGACTCCAATCCGATCCGCTTCACTTTCGAACCAATAATAAGTTAGTTCATGCCGTTTCGTTTGCGAACATAACTATTTTATTTCTTCCCACAAAAGCTATAAAAACCGAATTGAGTTTATTATTGCAAAAACACTAACAAGTAGCTCTTGGTCACCGTGTGTATATTTAGATTTTCATTGTCATTTTATGCAGTTTCATCAATTCGCCCTGTACTAATGTGCCACACTATAAAATAAATTAAATCGAAACTTTACACGGTCTGTTGTCGTAAATACGAAATAAACATATCTATTGTGTATATATAGATTCTTGTGCCAAGAACAAAACAACTGCTTTACGAGAAGGGGTGAATTTATATACACATTGAAGAAGGCCGTTTTATCTGATCAACTAATACCTTACAGAGGAAATAAAACGTATGTGTACGTGAATAAATTCTGGTAGAAAAAGTTTCTTTGTCTGATGTTGTATTTATTATGATGTAAACTGTATCACATTTAAGCTCTAGTAGAATTTACTTACGGTTCACTTTCTAATGAATTTTATTGTAAACACGACTGTTGTTTTCATTTCTTTAATATCTCAAAAGAATTAATTGCAGCCAGTAAAAGTTCTTGAAGCAAATAATGTTTAGGAGCTTTCTCCTCATGACCTAAAAGCTCACATGTACGCAAGTGTAACCCACGATAGTTTTAAAAAATGATGCTCAGTGTATTTTGTAACCTTTAGCAATTATCATCAGGGAATTTTATAAGGACATGTTTTTAAAGAATGTATTTTTTCCCAAGATTGACGTACCTACACATACATATTTATGTTCAAAACTAATACTAGGTAACAAAAACTTATAATCGGTAAAGAGCTTTCGAATTGAATGTATGTGGTTATTAAAAGATAAAATATATTTAAAAATGTATGAAAATAAAAAC